ATATATAAGAAATAATTAAGTATTATATATTCAGCAGACATATGATAAAAATTTAATGAGTACCATATAAAGGGAATGAAATGTATGCAGTACAATGAATAATCTAGTTTTCAATTATAAAAAATTTTAATTAAGATGTGACGGTGCTGAAAACAGCAGTAATTCGCAATGGTGGGATAAATAGATATTTTTTAGATGACAACGGCTCTACTCGAGAAGTATTTGGTAATACGGAAAATAGCAGTAAAAATAAAATGTGATAATACGAAAAGTAGTAATAGTAGTCCTGCTTTCATAGAATGCTCTCAAACAAGTCCGTTCATAAACAAATAAGACAAATTATTGACTATAGATACATTCAAGAGAAAATTTTAATTTACAAGGATTACGTTATGAATACGTATAATAAGGCTTTCCAAGCTCAGACAATGTTTTACTGATAACGATATACTTAATCGTAAAAAATAATTCACAGATTTTCAATACTCCGTGCTCAAGGACTTTACGCAAGCTATGGAAAGTAAAAATCTCGACTTGCACACGACGTATCGACGAATAAAGTTACTAAGTACGTGTGTGTGAGATTTAGTATATATTTCCTTATATTTTCTTTGCTTTTTTTCTTTTTTTCTTTTATCTGAAAAAAAATCATGAATCGCCGACACAAAGCGCTGTAATTGCGTTTCTGCAAAAAAACTAAAAAAGAATGTAAAATAATGAATTTTCTATAAATACTTTTACTATACATCTAGGAGTGTGAGATTTATATTTCAGCAGAATACATAAGTGAATTCAATTTATGAATAATTAACATGGATAATAATATCCAAGAATGGAAATATGCCGTTAATAAATCGTTTTATAGAAAACATAAGACGTTATATTTTGAAATTATCAGTAAATCGTTAATTTCATATCACCTGTGATAATAAAATTAATATTGCCGTGTTAAAATTTGATAGAAAGAGAAAAAAAATGAATTGAATAAAATAGAGTAGAGTAAATTTTATCTTTTGTTCTTGGTAAGAAATGTGCGAGTAACAAAATCAATTATCAGAATATTAAACCTGTTAATTTTTAGAATATTCGTGAATGTTTTTATAGAGGCAATAAAAAGCACACGATGCAAAGGGCATCAATCGATCAATTAATCAATCAATCGATGTAAAAGATTCAAATAATGTAGTAAATAATAGACAAGCACAAAAGAAAGAGCGCACTATAACATAATAACATTAGTCGATACTAGTGTGAGAAAATGATTTGATCCTTGTGCGGACATTTACACGACCGAGTGACGCAAATGGGAAATCACTTTCTCACGCATGAATCTAACTTAAAACTCATGTTTTGTTTTACATTTTTAATTAATTTCATTTGGCATTCGAAGAAGACAGATTCATGATTAAAAATGATTACTTTATTTTCAATTACTTAGAAGGGTTTTAGCAGGGTACATACATACTGGCAGTCCACAACTTCATTTATCAAATCTGATTCAATACCGATATTCTCTATGATTTGTTTCTTGGCTATTCTTAATTAATAAATCATCACCACACATAATATACACTAATGTCCATTTAGGCTTGGGCTATTTTTTTTATTGTACATAAATATATTTAAGAAATTAGATTGTGAAGGTGTAATTAGTTTCACGTAGAACTAAAATTCGGCTTATTAGGTGTCTGATAAAAAATAAAAGTTTAAATAAATGTTACATTATAAAAAATAAAAATGGTATATATTACATCAATCGTCATTAGCGTAAGCAGTGAAGTACAAATAATTATCATCGAATTAAAATCCTGGAGTTGGTTCTTGTCTAAGATTAAGCTCCTAATAGATGTTTGTCAATTATAAATAAGTGTGAAAAATATATATTTCTTATAAAAAAAGATGCCGTTTTTCACAAATACTTTTAAAATGACGTTATTTGTTACAGAAGATACTGTTAATTATCAATAAAGAATGTCGTTATTTTTCTTTGGTACATAGAATAACATAAAATAATATTTTATGTGCCAAATATTGTCCAATATGACGTTAAAAAATAGTTATTGAGGATGTCATTTTTTTGCAATAGGGGATTAATTTTAACATTAAACTGAATAACAAAATAAATAAAAAAAAGATAAGTGCACTTGGCGATACTTGTATAACACGACTTTACATGAAAACGACATTCGTACAATTAGATTTTACAAAAAAACTAGTGAAAAAATTTTTCCGAAAGATATAAGCCAAAAATTACAGTTGAATTTTTGAAAATTAATTTGAAATGAATATTTTAATATTTTTTTCCAGTTTTTTATCGCAGTATTATGAAAAATAGTATGATTTTATATGTATTACATTTATTGAACTATAATTGTATATTTTATAGGGTTATAATTCCAGTACAAAGAATGTCGTATTAAAAGAAAAATCAATAGTCAGATGCCAAAATCAAATATCTATTTTTTTTTCATTTCCATAATTTATTTTGAATAAGTAGAAATTTCATTATCTTATTATTAAGTTTGTGTATAATCTTTATCAAAACGATCATCATGACCCCAAACTTTACTACTAGTATTCGGTTTAGATAACCAAATCTGTTCATCGTTTATTTTATCTCTCTTTCCTTTTGATAATTTTTTATTATGTTTGTCTTTTGCGGTATCTCCAGTACCAGCTCCTCGAATAGCTCGTGGAATAGATGGTTTTTCAACACTCTTATTTATTAGACATTTATCCATCCACGAAGACATTGTTTTACCTTCTTCTTGTGATGCTTTCATTGTAACATTGACAAGACTATTCTTATCTCCAATTGAACCAGATGCACTTTTACATTTTTTGAAATTATGAGATTCTAAAAGAAAAAAAATTAGTTACTATTACATTGAGACTTTCGTATTGTATAATGAGCCCAATTTAATAAGCAATTGTTTTTCACATACCAAAAATAATATTGTTAGCAAATTTTTCAATTTCTAGAAATGTATCACCATAGATTTTGAAATAAAATTCTTTTATCTCTCCAGATAATGGTTTGAAGCTTTGGTGTGATGAATCAATAATATAAAGTAACATGGCTCTTGACTTTGCACTTAAATTACGATTGACTAAAACACGTCTGACTGATATTAAAAAGTCTTCGGATCCATGTAATGGTTTTTCGAAAATTTTTGAACCATTAACAAATAGCTACAACATTTTTTAATTTAAATTTATGCTTTGTAGACTACAGGTAACAGAAATAAAATTTTCATTTTCAATATTTCATAAAATATGATTTGGTTACCTTCACTTAAATTGATTTACATTACCTGAACAGTAATAAGTTCTATATCTTCTTCTTCTGATGTATCTAACAGCATTTGCAGGTAGCATAGAAGTGGGCCGGATAGAATTTTCAATGGTGTACCATTTATTTTAAAATTACAGTATACTCCTCCCAAAAGAGAAACTGCATTGCGAAACTGCACAATACTTCTTTTTTTTATTTGGTCTCGTTCTTTGACAAAATCAATTTTACATTGATAAATATTTTATAATAAGTAAATTAATAAATCATAATACCTTCATAATCTTTTTGCAGTATTGTTAAGATAATTGATCGTAACATACAGTCAGTTAATGTGTATATCTTAGGATCACAACAAACAATATTTAATTTTATTCCAAATTGTCTATCATCGAGAGCTTGTTTGTGTAAATCTTCAAAAATTTCTCTAGAATAGGAAAATAATTATTTAATAATACCTTAATTTTGTTCTTTATATTTTATTTAAAAATTGCAAGTAACATACTTTATTGAATTACTTTTTAATAAATGTTCAAACATTTGCAGAATTTTATCTACTTTCTCATTGAACATTGGATCTTTGAAACACACATCATCTATAAGATCTATCAAATCACTGAATTTGGAAATATTTGTTTGACCGGGTCGACGTAATGGTGCATCTCGAACATCCGTAAATCCTCTACCTCTTCCTTTTCCAATAACTGACATAGCTACCAGCTAAAAAATTGGTAAAATGTATACCTTAATTATTTCTTTATTTGATTTTGTTAGTATCAACTTACAATTCTTCAGTAATTAAAAAGTTGTAGAAAAATTTTTTAATTTAATAAATTAACAATGTTTCGGTTCAACGACATATCCAGTTCATCTTATGAAGAAAGACCAAGCCATTAAGTCATAGAGACTCTGATGGACTAAGTTCAGACATTGGCTAGAACTTGTAGGTTGTAGGTGAGGATGTAAAAATTTAAAGGGAATATGCACGAATCTGTTGAATCATTAAAAAAATACAGGCGCAATTTTTCTATCATTTGAAAATATCATTATAACCATCCGTTCAAGAAATATTACATTACTCATTACATATATAGTGATATATGCACCTAAATAAGGTCAGTCGATAATATAGATCTACGCTTACAATATGAAGAGGGATTATTATATATGCACCTCACCTTTATAATAATAAGAACTGTGCCAATATAAGAATAGGTTATTTTTTGAAGAATTCTATGTTAATTATCTGTTAAAAGTGGATTTTTTTAAATCTAATAAATCTTTAAAAACATGTTAAAATTATCGTTGCCGTTACCGACTGAGCAAAAGAAGTTGTTCCAGATTTTTTCTTAAATAAATAAATTAGTCAACTTGAAACTTTTTCAAGTGGACTTGAAATTGTTATTGGTAATTAGTATAATATACCCTTATATCCATTGTTTTTAAAGAAAGACTAATTCATTTGTTTAAGAAAAAACCTTAAGAACATTTTTGCTTAGTCGGTAACGCCAACAGAGCGTTAATTCATGACGAGAAATAAATGATATTTTGATTGGATAGAAAAATTATACGTAATTTTTGCTAACGATTCAACACATTTATTTCTATGAAAATCGAATTAAAACGCTACGCAGATTCAATTTCTACTGATCTGGGAGTGTTTAACTTTTAGAATTTTTTTGTTAATAAAAGCTCAATTACGCGGAATTATTATAACGAGTTTTGCAATCCTCGCCAATCACACGCAGTTTTCCTATATTCTATCCGGGTCATGTTTTTTCATCCGAGAAGGATAAATAATTAAAAATGAACGTAATAAAGTATGATATAGACAAATGTATATATAAGTAAAGTATATGTATATACGAAAAATTGTATTACTCAAACTATAATAATGCATGTAGAAAACAATTAATTAAAAAGATGAAACTTCAATTTGTAAAACATAAAAAACATATAATGATATAAAATATATAAAGAAAATAAAAAACATTTTATTAGTAATTATATTAACAATGAAAAAACAAAGAAAATTTACCTTGAAAAAAAAATTTACAACATTTTTCTAAATGAATAAAATTAGTTTTATGTTGACTTCATTTACAACATTTTAATTGAAATAGCTTTTTTTATATCTTAAGGAATAAGTATTTCGTGTTCATATTACAAAAATCGCGGGTCTAATCAGCTGACGAGAGTGACGAGTCACTCTCTGTTAATAATGAATAGCTGCAAACTAATCTCTAAAATTTTCATTTGCTAACTTTTACAAACGAAAGCAGCATTCCCTAGAAGATTAATTATTTTAATAAGCAGAACACACAATTTCTGAAAGAAAAAGTAGAGCATTATGACACCTGGACAAAGAGCCTGTGGTTTCGTTATTTTTCGTAGATTATGCGGAGATATTGAGTATTTATTGATGCAAACTTCCTACAGAGATCATCATTGGACTCCGCCGAAAGGTAGAAAATATCACGTCAAACAAATATTTACTTGGGCAATAATTTTGCGAACAGAGATCTTACAATATATGTTTGTAAATATTTTGAATATAAGCGAAGTAGTCGTAATAAAAGCTTGGAACGAACTTGTAGGATTTTCTAATTTATATTTCAAATACTTGATTTAAAACATTATTAAGATTTTAACCTTGAAGGTCATGTCGATCCTGGAGAAAATGATATGCAAACTGCTTTGAGAGAAACTGAAGAGGAATCTGGTTATTTGAAAGAGGATTTAATAATTTATGACGGTGCAAGGCGAGAAATGATTTATAAAGTAAAAAATAAACCAAAAACTGTTATATATTGGTTAGCTGAGTTGATCAATAAATCCAAGCAAGTTAAAATGTCAAAAGAACATCAAGATTTCAAATGGCTTCCTATTGATGAAGCCTGTCATTTAACTGGCTTCACTGAAATGCAAGATGCCTTGAAGTATTTTCACAAGTACATTGCGGAAAACAATTTATAAAAACGTTCTGACATTATTTGTTTGTAAACAAGATGTTATAAACAAAATTTTTTTAAAGTTCGATTTCTCAACGAAATTTAAAATGTAATTAAAAATAAATAAATGTCAAAAATATATAAATGATAAAATGAAAATATAACATTCAAAGAAAAAAAATGACATCTTGAAATTGTTATTGGTAATCAGTTAATTTTTAACTTTGACCTAAAAAAGACAACGTGACTCAGTCTATTTAACTATATAATACGATTATATGACGTTGAGTGACTACAGACATTCATTGTTTTAAGTAAAATGATTAAGATCACGTATTAATAGACGAAAATAATGGCACTTTTGTCCTGCGAATTTAACTCTTAGAAAATAAATTCTTAGGCAGTATCAAGTTAAAAATTGTGACACTATAATATAAGGCTAATAGTTTAGTTTACACTCGAAAATTTTACAAAAACATGTATTTTATGCATGTAGAATAAATATTTAGATGCACATTCATAAAGTTATCAAATGAGTTATGCAAAGTTTGACGAAAAAGTAGCGCAAATGTTACAAAATCAATTAAATTACACTGGAATCACAGAAAATGCATTTTTTTCGAAAGAGGTTAGTTTTTATTTAATCATTGCGAGTATCAAGTTATTGAATATGATATACCCTAATAACTTCTCATTTAGAAAGAAAAAGAAAATTATCGTCCTCGAACGTTGATTGATGAGACACTTGAGTATATTGATCCAACACCAAACATTCATACCCTTTTTGTTCAGTTCAATGAAAAATTTTTTTGGAATGTTTTGCTACCTGTGCAGGTCAAGTGGAGTCCAAGGATGACATCGTAAGAGATTTTCATTGAATAATGTCAATGTGAAATTATGTAACATTGATTCTCCTTTTCTACAGATGTGCTGGAATATGTTCTTTCCATCCAAGAAACAAAGAATGCGTAATTGCTCTGAGCAGCCCATTGCTAAAATTAAGGCCAAGAAAAGATCTTGTTGAAACTTTATTGGTACTGTCAACAGTTTTTATGAATATTTAGCAACCTTGAGTTTAATAATATATTTTTTTTTTCAGCATGAGATGATACATGCATACCTGTTTCTTACAAATGATAACAGAGACAGAGATGGGCATGGACCTGTTTTTCAAAGTCACATGCACAGAATCAATAAAGCTGCAGGGACAAAAATTACTGTAAGAAAATTGTATGCAAACTTAATTTTTAACTTAAACATGTTCTTACATTAACTTTAATTTTTAGATTTATCATACATTCTATGAAGAAGTAAAATTGTACCAACAACATTGGTGGAGGTGCAACGGGCCTTGTCAAAAAAGAGCTCCTTATTTTGGCATGGTAAGAAGAGCTATGAATAGGGCTCCTGGCCCAAATGATTTTTGGTGGTCAGACCATATAGCTAATTGTGGAGGGAAATTCATTAAAATTAAGGAGCCAGAAAAACCTGAGAAGAAGAAAAAGGTATCTAATAATAAGCTTAATAATATCTGTGTCAAAAATTCTGAAAATAACAGTATACTTAACTGGGTGAAGAAATCTAATCTTCATGATGGTAGTGCACAAAATAGAAATAGTTTATCTGATTATCAACAAATTTCAAATCAGAACACTAATAAAAACAGTGCTATTAAATCACAAGCAAGCAATCGAAAGAGTAATGTTTATAATACTTCAACAAGTTTGAAAAAGCTTGGCAACAGTACAAATAATGTTCATGGATGGGGCACTGGTGGTCCAAAGAGTAACTATAAGTCAAGTACAAATGCAGATTCAAAAATACTTCCAGAGTCTACTCAACCATCTTTATTTTTTTCTGGTACTTTGGGAGGAAGTGGTAGTGGACGTAGTAATTTAATAGATAAATATTCCAATCCATCTAACAGCAATCTTGTTCAAAGTACGTCGAACAAGACTCTGTTTTATAAAAATTCTTCAGTAATTTCAAGTATAGATAATCATGAAAAATTGGAAACTGTACAGTGTCCAAATTGTCAAAATAATATAGAAGAAACCATGATTAATAAACATCTAGATGATTGTTTAGAACATACTAATGAACAAAAACATGTTGCTGCTACCTCAATTAAAAAAAGAAAACACAAAGATGATTATTTGACAGGTAATAAAATTTTCAAGCCTGATAATATAACAGATTCAAATAGCATTGAATGTCCATTATGTTCCAAGAAAATAAAGATTGATACATTCAATCAACATTTGGATATGTGTGCAAATAATGATTATACAGATCTAACAGAAAACCAAGTAATAGCACTGCATGATACTAGTTCTAGTTCTGTTAATTTACAAGACTCACCTCATGTCTGCTTAATATGTGAGAAGATCTTGGAGCCTAATGTAACTTTAAATGAACATTTAGAAGATTGTGTTTCTTCTATCTTTAATGATAGTAACAATGATGATGTTATTGAAGAACTAAAAACTGATAAAACAGAACACACAACAAAATATCCTTGTCCAGTGTGCATGTCTCTAATTGATGAAATTACTATGAATATTCACTTAGATTCATGCCTTAACCAACGTTTGTATCAAATATTCTAGTACAATTGAATACATAAATGTAAAAATATATTTATATTATTGAATAATATTGTTTTTTATATTATGGACTCATTTTTGTACGTGTATTTTTGATTAAAAAAGTCGTAATTTAAGTTGTCGTGTATTTTTATTTTAAACAACTTTACTATTAATTAATTGTTTGCTGTTTCATTCAAAAGAAAACAGCGTTACAATTTTTATTTTAATTAAACGTTCATTAACTCAAATACAAAATGGCAGCGCCCAGTGTATTCGAGTTGTGATTATTGTTCATGTGTTTTCAATGTATAGGAAAGTTCAAATTGAATTTTGCTAATACGAATAGTTTACTCAGAAGGTGTAAATTATTACCACGGAAAGTAATTGTATGTATTTGATTGATAATTCTATTTTTAAAGATCCGCATGTGTGAAATTAAATATTTTTAAGGTTAAGGGAGTTTATGAACCACGCTTGGGCTTTGCGGCAATTTTGTATATTTTGGAAAGTCGAAAATAAAAAATCATGGTAACTCAAGAAATATTAACAATTCAGTTGGGCCATTATGCTAATTTTGTCGGTACCCATTGGTGGAACATTCAGGTAAATTCATACTTATTTATTTATAATAATATACATATAAATTTATGTTATAAGAACTTTATTGAGAATATTAAACATTTTTAGGAAACAAATTTTTCTTATGATCCTCTAAACCCATCTGAAATTAATTCAGACGTTCTCTACAGAGAAGGAGAATTACAAAAGGTAGGTTCTTGTTAAAAGTTCAATAAATTTTCATTTGAAATATTCCATTCATTTTGAATTTTTTTTTAGAATATAACTTATACACCAAGACTACTAATAGCAGACTTGAAAGGTGCCTTTGGATATTTGAGTGAAGAAGGTAATTTATTGGATGTGTTCCAAACAGACAATCAAGCACCTGAAATATTATGGGAGGAAAATCGTTTAGAAATTGCTAAGAGACCAACAGCAAACAAGTCACCTTTTATCCAAAGTTTAGAAAAAGCTGCTTCTAGTGAAGAAAATATTACTTATGATTTAGAGAATGAAACAAATACATGGGTTGATTATTTAGTGCCACGATTTCATGCAAGAACAATTAATGTCATTAATGAATATGAGCATGGATCTAGAGATCAACCTTTTGATATATTTTCATATGGGCAAAATTTATGGAAAACTAACAATTTTTCTGAGGATTTTACAGACAAAATTAGAGCTTATGCAGAGGAATGTAACCTGATGCAGGGCTTTCAGGTAATAAGTCAAATATTATAATTAATACCTTGAAACCTAAGCCATTGAATCATTTGTTTGTTGTAAAAGCCAAAACATCTTCATTTTTTCTATATTTATTTTACATGATTACAATAAGTAATTTAACATATTACCTATCAACGAGCATATCAACAAACATAAAAACAGTCATACAAATTCAATGTTTTTTAAAATATGGTTTTGTTGAACAGTTTTATTAGTAATATATAAAATATAAAATTGCAATAAGTTTGTGACATCATGAATAAATATTTAAAAATTTATAGCTTTTATTGAAAAATTCTAAACACCCATCCGCGAATTTTTGCAGTCATTGAAATAATTAGTACATTACGATACTAGTGCGGGAAAGTAGATTCTAGTCTCGTGTAGCGTTTACGCCCGAGCGAAGCGAGGGTGGAATGGTACACAAAACGAAAAATTCTTTTCGACACTCCGTGCGCAAAGTGCGTCTTTCCCGCACGCTCGGCAGAAAACGTGCGTTGAAAATTGCACTTTCCACACGTCGTATAAAAAAATACGGTACGGCACATGTTCGGGAAAGAGTTTCTCGTCTCGTGTACAATGAATTAAACATGTGCCGTATCGTATTTTTTGATACGACGTATGGAAAGCGCGATTTTCAACGCACGTTTTTTACCGAGCGTGCCGGAAAGACCCACTTTCCGCACAGAGTATCGAAAAATCAATTGTAATACCGGTGAAGACTTTTATTCACATAGACCTACTTAATACAAAACAATCTTGTAAAATGAGTATTATTCTCATGGACTAGCTAATTGTTACATGTATATGTTACATTTTAGTAAAGGTGTCAAAAAATAAATACTAATTTATACAATATTTTACAGGTTCTGGTAGATGCTGATGATGGATTTGGTGGCTTGGCTGCATCTTTAATACAGTATTTAAAAGATGAATATGGAAAAAGTATCATAACTTGGCCTGTCTTTGATAGTTCTCATAGAGATCCAACACAATCCGACAATATCAAATTAATTAATACAGTCCTTTTATGGCATCAACTAGGTGAATATTCATCACTTTTCAGCCCCTTATGCTGTGGCACAGATGGTTGGCCTACACCGGGTGCACCTCGCATTTTTAATCACGTTACTTACAAAGCAGATCTTAAATATCATACAAGCGCATTGCTTGCTACAGCTGTGGATACACTTAGCTTGCGCTATAGAAACAAGAGATACCCAATGTCTGTGCTTTCAGATATATGTGCAGATTTAGGCAAGTTTGGTAGAAAAGCTGTTGCGACAAGTTTGAGTTTACCATTTCCTATTTTTTCAAATCAAGATCTGATAGATATGTTGGATGACCTTGATGGTAGTTGCCCTTGGACAAGTTTAACACCAAGATGTAATATAAGTGTAGACAATGTCATGCAAAGTTTAGCTTTAAGAGGTATTTCAGAAAAACGTCTTAAGGGCCCTATGCAGGAGTCAAATGAACAAATAAAAAAATTTGCTTACAAGTGTTCTTCTGTTCATGAAATGATGTCTCTATATTTAGATAGTACTTGCCACTTCTCAGCTTCTCATTTGACTAACATCGAGCAAGTACTCAAAGTAAATGATCCATATCCAAAATTATTTAACAGTAACATTATGGAAGATGGATCTCTTTCAAAGAAACTCAGAATGGAAGGTAAATTTATTAATTAATTAAATATTTCTTATAATTTCTAGTCTTTTTTCAGAAAAAATAATAAAATATCAATTAATTTAAGAAATTAAGAGTGTTCCTGTCATGGCTGGTCTCCATACAGGCAAATTTATGTCCAAAATGTATGATTCTCTGTATAAAGGAGTCGAGCAGAAAGTCAGAAGTTTAAGAAGATTCAATGCATTTATATTGTCAGGATTGGAAGAAGACGAGTTTAAAGAAAGTGTAAATGATTTGTTGAATTGCAAAGATAATTACGAAGAACGAGATATTTAAGCAAAAACTCGTACGTGTAATTTTGCCTGTTAACGTTATCCACGTTGCTCGCGGTCAATTTAAGAGAAAGCCGATTTTTAACTTTTCTAAGACCTACCATTGCAATGCTGACAGCAAAATCAATGCTTAAGTAATTACGGAGAAGAGATTTAACAATTATGAAGGTTGAAAAAACCAATTATAAGGCATACTGTTGTTCCTGTATTTACGACAATACCATCTATTATTTCTTTTAAATGAATCGAAAAAAAACTAAAACCTGTTTTAACGATTGATTTTCAGAGAAAAAAGTAAGCTTTGAATAAAAACAAGTGGCAAAAAGAAAAAGCATAATTAGCAAACATTGTTAGGATTGATGCCAATTGAATAACGCATTAATCGCCCCGTTATCGTATAGCTTCTTTGAACGTAAGCTATCGTAAATATCCACGTATAGATATACTTATCGCGCTCAACTTTTTTCTAAAAATAGCAGAAATAGTTGAAATACTGGTCAGAGCATAAGTAGTAGTGAGGATCGTTCTAGTTTTTAAAAATTAGGTGTGCACCACGTCATTGTTAAGTACCGTTAGTCGAATAAGTGCGTGCAGAGCAGGCGCAGCAAATAGCAGTCAGCTTTCCTTAACACTACAGCGCAGCAGCAGTAGGCGTACGTGCGCGTTGACAGGCATGTCGCTATAAGCCGACAGACCTTAAACTGGTCGTATTACTGCGACTAGTACCAGTTGTAGTACTAATGAGCTCGATATTACAGAGGTTGTATCGTCAGTTTTACGCGATGCGAAATATATGGCCGGACTCGAGATGATGAGATTTGCAATAAGCAAAATGTTAATTCTGACTAGCTTACTGCTGCTGTTGGCCGCCCGAGTTCATGGCAACTACTTTGGGACCAATCAGCAGCTGGCCAGCAATCAATGCTTCTGCAAGGTAAATATAACGATGCGAGCTTTTGTTTTTTCTTGAGTGTTTACGCGCACACGATTGTTTATGTTTTCCGTAAACATAACCTGTCGCTCAGTTTTACAATGACGTGTACTTCCGTAAGCTTATGTTGACTGACGCGCGTTCGTCAATTTACATCTACATGTGCACATGTACGATATGATTACTAGCTGCAATTACTATTTCGCCAATTTCGTTAATCATCAATGACATTTGTAGATAAATATATACTAAAAATAATTCGTTAACAAAAATTGATGAATAGATTGACTATCTTCAATTATCTCGCTGACAATAATCAACATATGTTTTGGCTATTTCTAGTTGAATGGCGTTATCGACGACTGCAGCTGCACTGTGGACACAGTGGACTATTTTAATAATATGAAAATTTATCCTAGACTACAGAGTCTCCTAGTCAGAGATTATTTTAGATTTTACAAGGTCAATTTGAAAAGAGAATGCCCTTTTTGGGCAGATGACAGCAAATGTGCTATGCGCTTTTGTCATGTTAAACCGTGTCAAGATGTAAGTTTGCCATTTGAATTTATCTATAATTGCCCTCTTTCACCTCTAGATTATTTTGCAATGTCTTTACAGAAAGACATTCCAGTTGGACTAAAGGGTGAACTCCCACGAAGTATGTATGTCAACGAAAGTCCTGTTGATAAATATCAACCTCATATGCAACAGACTGATTGTGATCATAATATGAATGATCATAATGTAGAATTAGGATATTTAAACACTACTATAAGGTACAGTAAATAATTACAATAAATACACATATGTACGGTGAATGTAAATACCAATTGTTTTTCAGCTCTGAGAATTATAAGGAGTTTGAAAGATGGCAACAGCATGATGATGCTCAGGACAATTTTTGTATTACTGAGACAGATACAGGAGAATATGTTGATTTACTTTTAAATCCAGAAAGATACACTGGTTACAAAGGTCCCAGTGCTCACAGAATATGGCGCAGTATTTACATGGAGAATTGTTTTAGACCAGACAACTCACCAAACACCTTTATACAATCTTCAAAAGTTGATGGTATGTATAAGTTTAGTTTAAATGTTTGAGGATAATTTTATAAAGAAACGAGTTGTTTAATTTATTAAAAATGTTTAGCCATGTGCTTGGAGAAACGGACATTTTATAGAGTAATTTCTGGTCTTCATGCCAGCATAAATATACATCTGTGTGCAAAGTACTTGCTTTCTTCTCCGATACATGTGGGTGTAGGTGTATCTCCTGATGGACAATGGGGCCCAAATTCAGAAGAACTAGAAAAACGATTTTCACCAGACACAACAAATGGAGAAGGTCCAAATTGGTTGAAAAATCTTTACTTTGTTTACATGTTAGAATTAAGAGCGCTTGCAAAAGCAGCATCATATTTGCAAAGAGAAGAGTACTACACTGGTAATCACATTGAAGACCAGGATACCAGATTAGCAATGAATGACATTTTGAATGTAATTAGGTAAATAACTTTGCTCCTTTATATTGATTGCATTATAAATGTTAACATACAAGAAAATTGATTTTCAGTACCTTTCCCGAGCATTTTAATGAAAGTGTCATGTTTAATGGGGGAATAGAAGCTCAAGTACTAAAGGGAGAATTTAAACAACACTTTCGAAATATTTCACGTATAATGGATTGCGTTGGATGTGATAAGTGTAAATTATGGGGAAAACTCCAAACGCAAGGATTAGGTACAGCTCTGAAAATCTTATTTTCCGGAAAATTTGAAAAGTATGAACCAACCCTTTGGACTATAAATAGGAAGAAATTCTACTTGGAAAGAACTGAAATAGTATCTTTGTTCAATGCATTTGGAAGGTAACTTATTTTTCTGACAATCAATATTTGACTGTATTTTTAACATATTCAAATGACCCATTATAATTTTTATTACAGATTATCTGAAAGCATATTTGAATTGGACAAATTTCGAAAAATAACAAGGTAGTTAACTTTAGCAAGGAGGAATTAATTTTTTTATGTTCAAGTATACGCACATCACATTTGATAGCTTTATACATCAGAGTAGCATGCATAAATTTGCATCAATCAATAAGACTCTGCTTTAAAACTCGGTGAATTTTTGTATCATGTCTACAATTAATCTAAAGTCGCAATGAAATGAAGGACATTTTCCATATTGACTATTTCCATGCCTTCTTTCCTTTGACGATTACACGTTGACTATTGACTGCGTCTGTGATAAATGATATTCAGCTAAATACAATGAAACAGAAACAACACTATAAAATCTTTAAATAATTTGATTGAAATTATTTTTAGTATCCATTTTAATTTTAAACTATCAACATATACGTTCATATGCGTGTACATATATTCTACAATGATGTTATAGAAAATATTTTTTATTTATTTCGTGTAACCGTAAATTTTGTAATGTTAAAAGTAAAAGCTATTTTATTATAAATATTATGTTGTTTTATCGAGCAGTGACCAGTAGTTTTGTACATTAAAAAATATAATGGTTGGCCCATTCATTAATGACACGCTCACTTAAAAAATTTATGAAATAACCGCTGTAATCATATCGTTTTTGATTGATGTAAGGTTTTTAATGATGTTTATCAGCAAATATAACTGTAAATCCCATTTCGTTATAAGCATCTATCAGTTATTTGTTAAATGCATATTTTATTAAAATATTACAAGAGAAAATTATATAGAAAAACACAGTCAGTAAAGAAATTTTCCAAGTTATTCCCGAATTTATTACACAATTATAAAACTATCCTATATTAAAATAATTCAATGTTTAATTTAATTTAATAAAATTTTAGCAGGCAAGTGTATGTTTCTAACAAGCGTAAGTAAATGTAAAAAAATTGTTAATAATTGTCTGATTTACTGCATAATACTCAAAACGAATGCTGACAATAAATGTAAGGAAGTTCTCCGGCTATCACATTAACGATTAAAATAAAACATAAGCGCATTCAAACAAAAATGACAGCAGGAAAAGACCTTTAACATTTGTTTCTCCGTACAAACGATTGCATAAAACGTTCTGAAATCAATTTTGTAATCTAGGTTTTAAAATTCATTTGATAGTGACGAAGAGGCACCTGATTGTCTCTTTATAACGGTATACACATTTACCGCCAATATTATTTACTTTATTTTATGAGTAATTATATTCTGTTAGTTTGCAGAAATAATGTTTATTGGAATTATTGAAACTAAGTTAACGTTCTTAAAAGTATTAAATAAAATCAACTACCAACTAATTAAATATTACAACAAATTCAATATATACTTTAGTAAAACTTTCTTAATTTGTAGCTTTCATTTCATTTATGAATTTTTATTAACAATAATCTTTTTTTAATTACAAAGTATTTGAATGAAATACAGTTTTGTATACATATATGCGATGTGGTGTTGAAAAGTTACGATATGTTGGCTCATTCATTCAAGAATTTTTAATAATTACCTAAACTTTCTGTATCCTGTAATCATTTGCTCTGAAACAAAATTAATAAATAGCAAATAATAGTTTTACGGATAAATTAACATTGAATAAAAATCGCATGTAAACATGAAGAAAACAAGACATTTAATGTCGTTTCTCACCTGTTGCGAAAATCTCTGGTCGTTCCAGGCTTGAATTTCGTAAGATAATTTTTTTTCCTCCGTTTTTGGGCATATTTTGTCATCATTTCTTATTTGTTTCTTTTCTCTACGCTTTGTTAACACGTGTTTCAGTTCTTCGTGAATTTGACCCCTTTGATCCTGGCCTATACTCGTGGTTTAAAATTGTATCAGTACATCGTAGACTTTTGTAAAAGTTCGAAAAGCTTGAGCGGCTCGTTACTTGCTGGCCATCGAGCTGTTTAAAACTTTCGGGGTTTCTTTCAAAATGTTTCCAAAATAAGCACAGAGAATTTCAATTTTAATTTATTAAGAAGGACTATCACACGCGGGTTATCGAATTGCCTGCAATTTTGACGACTTTTTACACGCAAGATGTAAGAACGACCGATTATTCCATGATTACAGAAACTTTACGTAAAGTTAACGGCCGATAAATTAAGCAATGTAGAACATTCACAATAGCAGCAAATGGAAGCGTAGATCACCTCCTTTCGATAGGAAAAAGTTTAATTTTTTTTTTCAACAAGTTAAACTGCACATAAGTTGTACTAGATCAAATTTTTTCAGACCTGTTCTTAAATTCCAAACCAACTTAACTTTTGCACAGTTAAACTTTTTCCAACAACTTTCTTTAAAAGAAAAGATTTGATGTCGGCTTGCATTCGGTGATGTTCGGCGATATAAAAATACGGCATTGCTTAATTTAGTAGTATGCATCTTAGAAGACGGGATACTATATTTTGACGGAAATCACGTCGTCGTACGTTCTAGTTAGATCAGCTTGGAGCGAGCCTTTACAAAAAGCTAGTAAACCGAATGAAGAGTTTAGTCGTGACAAGAAATACTGACTTTCAACTTGTTCGATCGTTCTGGTCGAATCAACGCTCACTGCTTTATTCAACATCTTTGGATTGGGCATCTCAACGGGTAATAGTGGTGAAAGCGGCGGCAACACATTCTGCAATTTCAAGTTTCGCGGGACACGTGTTTCGGCATACGTGCTTTCACTTGACGTCAAACTGGTAGTATCACTGTTCAAGTTTATCTTTGAAGAGTCACCTGAAGAACAATGCAGTTTGATCTACAGTTACAATTGTTTTCATAACAGACCGAAGCTACTCGATTTCCGCCAGCGCACAGATGAAGCAGTTGCAATTTCTTCCTTGCTTCGCGAAAAATAATTTACACCTGCCATGCGTGATAGCGAGCTCTTGACTTTTAAATATGGTAGTGGAAGCGGTTAAGCTTGTATATTAATCCAATACGATTTGCAACGTACTTGAACATGAATGAAATATGGGCCCATAGCAGTCTCAAGCTAAAAAGTAATCTTAAAAAGCTTCAACAAAACGCTTGACATTCTATAACGAAACATATGAAAACAGATAGTGGTGTTTGCTGAAAATACATACATATATTTCAATTAAGTACGTACATGTTTTTAACTTGCAGTATAACTTTGTACAAATGCTATATACTTGAAAACATAATTGCACTTAAAATTCCTATAATAGTTGCTTAGTTTTTAAATATAAAGAACTTTTGATACTAGCTAATCATTATTTTGACACTCTTAACAGTTTAAATTTTACGTTGAACAGATTTATGCTCATTATTACAAAAATCAAATTAATAATAATAAACAAAGAAGGTTAATTGCTAAAGATCTTTATAAAAATTGATAAAAAAGATAAACAATCTTTAAAATACAAAGAGAGAGAGAGAGGAAACTTGAAGAGACAACCACGAAAATACGTCGTTAAAAATCTCAGTAGAATAAAGATAATATTGAATAATAATAATAATAATAATAATAATAATAATAATAATAATAATAATAATAATAATAATATTAATAATAATAATAATAATAAATGATGATGACGATAAAAGTAATGACGATGATGATGAGGTACTAGTAACTAAATACTTGATTTGATTGTTCAAGGCACTGACCATCGGGATGTGACATTATAGATATACGTACGTGCCAGTGCTTCTCGCGCAACTGATCTCTACAAGGAAGAGTTTCTAGAGGGTTCAAGTATACAAACGGTTGGCGCACGCAAGACACAACAGAGCGCGCGAAACGAGTCAGGTGCGAAGCTGCTGCACAACGACAACGGCGGGGCGGGAAAGAGGTACGTGGCTTTGGATAGACGCAGGTCGGCGGGAGGGTCAGGATGGCCGCAGCTAGAAGTATCTGAATTCACCTTTCTTGCCGAGGCGCTCCTTGCGCACCCAGTCGGCCGGGGCCGGCGGCGGGATGGCGTGGGCCCGGTGCGGCGCCTCCGAGCCGGGACTGGCGTTGGCGGCGTCTATTTCCGAGTCCTGCGGCGAGGACAAAAGGTGAGAGGCGAGCGAGGCGGGCGGGGCGGCCGCGGGGGATACGCACCTCGTAGCCGTAGACCTGGCGCTGGTAGCGCGTCGCGTAGAAGAGCTCGCTGTCGGGCGAGGCAGCCGGGCCGGGGCTGTGAGCCGTGACGATGGTGTGCGGCACGTGGGCCACCTGGCCGCGGCAGTTGCGCGCCTTCCACCACTTGCGGCTATCGTCCAGTACCTCGAGGAACTCGCCGCGCACCACCGTCAGCTCCTTGTCGTTGTTGGCCGTGCGTGGGTAGGTCACCTGCACGACCTTGGCGCGCCGCGCCGCCAGCTCGTCCAGCCAGGCCTCCTGCGCGCCGCCGGCGCGCGGCCCGCGCTCGATCGAGTCCAGCGAGATGTCGCTGTGGGCGCGCTCGCGCTCGCGGCCCTCGGGCTCGCGGCCGCCGTAGAGCTCGGGTGCGCCACGCTCGTAGCCGCGCTCCAGGTACTCCTGGCCGGCGCGCTCCTCGCGGCCCTCGTAGTCCAGGTAGTCGCTGCTGTAGTGCGACTCGTCCAGCTCCCTGCGGAGGAGGCGATCGGTCGGTCAGGCGGTCGCGCGGCTAGGCACTCGGCTAGGGTTCGGGGGGCCGACCCACCTGTGCGCGTAGTAGGACTCGGCGGCGTGCTGCGCCGGCTGGTGGTGGTGGTGGCGGTGGTGGTCCGGCGGCGAGGGGTCGTCGCGTTTGCGTCGGTCCGCGCTGAGCAGCGAGGCCAGGTGGTCGTGAGCGTGGGCCGGCGCGTCGCGTTCGTCGGGCCCGAGCGGCGGGAAGTCGGGCGACCAGCCGTCCATGAAGACCGGGTGATAGGTCGGCACGTGGCCCTTCCACTGCTCCCGCGGCACCAGCCAGGCGTCGCCCAGCGAGTGCCAGAGTTCCGTCTCTTTGCTGGTCACGCAGTTCATGAGCAAGTTGACGGCTTCGCGGCTGAGCAGCGGCGCGGCCACCCTGGCCGGCAGGTTGGCCTCGTAGCTGGTGTCGTGGCTGGCGTCCACGATGAGCGCCAGCGGCGTGAACAGGAAGTGCACCAGCTCGGGCGCGTTCGGGTCGTGGATGTGGGCCTTGAGCTTGGCCAGCAGATTGAACGACAGCTTGAACTTCTGGAAGATGTCGACGAACTCGAGCTCGGGCGGTGGCTTGGCGCGCATCGTCAGCATGCCGTCGCCCAGGTTGCGCTTCTTGGACTTGCGCTGGCGACGCCGGCGCTCGAGCTCGCGCGACGCCGCCGCCGCGTGCTGCAGCCGCGCGATGAACTTCTCGATGTCGTCGAAGCAGTGGTTCAGCACGCTCACGTCGCGTTCGTACTTGTCCGAGGACGTGGACGAGACCTCGTCCTGGTTGTCGTCGCGCGCGGCCTCCTCGGGCGGCGCGGCCGAGGGCGCCTCGGCCGCCGCGCCCTCCAGCGGCTTGCCAGCGCCCGGCTCCCGGCCTAGCCCGTTAAGCGGCGGCTCGGGCGGCGGCAGCGCCGGCGGCGGCGGGATGGGGGCGCGCGCGCCGCGCGCCTCGCCCGCCCCGCCCAGCTTGCCCGCCTGCAGCATCTTCAGGTCCTCCACGAGGTCCTGTGCCGACACGCTCTGGCACTGGAAGATGTGCATCTCGGCGCGCTGCCCGCCTGCCTCGTCCGCCACCGTGAACACCAGGATGTTGTTGTACATCTCCATGGGGTCGCGCGACGTAAAGGCCGTGGGCTCCTGGATGAGGCCCGCGGGGAAGCGCTCCATCACCGCCTGCGGCCGATAAGCGGCGGTCAGTCGAGCGTTAGGTCGGCCGGCCAGTCGCCCACTGCTACTCACGCCAGTCTCGTTGTCCATGATCAGCACCCAGCTGCGCTCCAGCCGCATCTGCATCTTCTGGCTCCAGATGCCGTTGCTCTTCTCCAGCTGCAGCAGGCGCCGCATGCCGTCGGCCGGGTAGACGATGCCCGTGTCCTTGGTCACGGTGAAGGTGGCCAGGTGTTCCATGGCGTAGCTGGACTCGGGCGCGCCGCCCGCGGCCGTCGGCGGACCCGCGCCCGCCTCACCCTTGCAGCCGTACATGGGGCTGCCGTGGCCGGCCGAGCTGTAGTAGGGCATGGCGCGGCTGCGGCGCTCTGCCGATCTGAAACAGGCCGTCCCGGGCTGTCAGCGACAGGCATTCCGCGCGGGGAAAGCCGCGATTACCATAGGAATGTCTCCGCGCGCGCGTGCGTGTGTACGTCGCGCGGATTGCTAGCGGGTCAACGACTCGCGCCGCCGCGCGATCGGCGGCGTATAAGGACGCGGCGAGAGAGCTGCCGGGACACGCCTAGCGCACTCGTTCAGCCAGCGAGGAAAACGAGTCGCGGAATGCAACGAGTGACGTAATTGCGCCGCTGCCTCTCGCGGCCAGGCCTATCCTACTTTCCTCGCCGCCGCCGCCGCCGCCGCTGCTGCTGCTGCTGCTGCTGCTGCTGCTGCTGCTGCTGCTGCCTGGCGCCCATGCTCTCCTGCTCGCGGCGGCTCCGAGTGAAAGTTAATGGCCGTGGCCTGCCCGAGCAGTCGTTTCTCGCGACGACCGTCGACTCGCATACTCACCGGTCGGACCCTCTCTTCGCTATCACTGGCTTAGCAGCTGCTGTTTCGTCTTCTCGGCCGCGTCCAAGCTGCGGCTCATCGCACGAGCGCAACTCTATCCTGCGACACTCCGATAAGTTTTGGGCGATCGGCTGTCTCCTCGCTGGCTCGCCACACACTGCAATTGCAGACGCATCGGTATGCCAGCAGTCCACGTAGGTGTACGCATACCTACCTGTTGAGAGAGAGCTGAACCACCACCACTTCTACTCGTGCCGTCCCCCCTGCCAGTGCTCGCTACTTTTCCCCTACCACCTCCTATCCTGCCCACTATCGGCTCGGTACTTGAAGGAATACTCGGATATCTCGAGATTAGGATCGGTTAAGAAGGGATCGACAAACGATCAACGTCGATTGTACGCAACCATTTCTTCAACTGTATTTAACAACTTATTGTTTACATGCGTTAAGCAAGCTTTCTGGAATTGCTACGCTTTTTTATTAATTGATAACAAAAGAATCGTTAACTATAAATCATTGGCTAAGTATCGCATTATTTGTCATTCTCATAATCCTTTGGGTTCTTCCTTGACAAGCGTTCGTTCTCCTTATCTGCCCAATCGACTAGCATGTACGTCAAGAGCATTGCTGCAAGTAAGTTCGTTAATGTAATTGCTGGTCAAACTAATTTATTCATCCATTCGCGTATACTTACGCGGGACTACTTTGAAGACGCTCTCCCTAAATCGACGTATCATGTTAGGAAACCCGTGACTGAATGCTCCTGCCCATGCTTTCTGTTCATGGGGGCTGAGTCTGAAATAGACGATGCCTCGAATTTTGGCCAAATTACCAAAATACAATCCCATTTTTCCGCTCTCTGAAAATCATCGGCCTGTTTTAGCAAGCATTTCAATAAAGAGTCGACGATACGCACATAACCACAATTTCAGAGATAAATATAAGCATTGATCAACACTGAATGTCTCTCAACTCAATAAAAAAGTACTCGCCATTACAGCTGATGCGAGCTTAACGATTCGCATAATACAATCATGAGAATTATTTAATAAACAATTACATAATAACTTACTTTTACGAACACAGGTCCAGACGACACAAGCACGAATGGCGCTGACAGTACAGCTGTTTTGAGACAAAAAATCGGCGCGCGCATTATTAGGGTGCATGCAGAACATTTCTCACACATTCAAAGTATGTAACGTCCATTTTAGCTTGATAGCATGAACATAGTGAAGCCCATCTGTATATGTATTAATTATTTATAGGGACTTTAAAAAGGAGCGTATTTTTAAATAAAGAATTCAATTACTATTTATTATAAATATAATATGGATACTCTGTTTTAAAAATTAAATTAATCGTCGATAGTACATTTAAATACATATAATTAAATGACTGCATAATATAATAGCTTCATTATATTTATGAAAATATAGTAATTAAATTTTAATTTTAAAATGTACGCTCTTTCTCAGACCGTAGATAATTGGTGTACAAATTGCTCCAAAAGAGACCAAAGTACCCACTAGTCTGAAGTCTTAACTCTATTGTCTCGGAAATTGTCGGGCGTTTACAGAATGGATTCTAACACTTCCAAAATGACATAAAATTTGACGCATGACTTAGGCTGATTCACCGACACGAAAATCGTACGCGACAAGCTATTTCTATAGTGGATTTTCTGCTGCTGCCAACTTGAAATGACAAATGCTTAACATAACCTCCAAATGATTAGACAAACTTAAATACTACAATTATATTTTAATAAAAGTGTAAAAAATATTCAAATTACTCAGATTAAATATAATATTAAAAAAAACGTTTATAAGTTAAGGTAATTTCGTTATCATTATTGATATTATGTTGCATGAAATTGCAAAGTTGAGTTATTTTGAATTTGTAAGTTGGCAGCAATTTGTTGCATATAACTTTTCGTACCTATTGGAGAATCAGCCCTAACGCGGCTGTAGCTCTGTACTATACACATGGAGTCTCCATGACTATACACACCGCTCGTTTAGCCTTTAGGGCCTTTTCACACTGAAGGAATATTCATGTGATGTTCTCGTTCCATGTGTGATTCTGTACCTTCCAGAACACTACTATAGTTTACTGTCTACCTCCCTATAAGTACTCAGTGGTTTAAGAAGTGCAGAAGACGCAAAATACGCAGTCTTGACGGTTTTATACTTAGTTTTCAAACATGCAATTTCCAAAGTGGCGCTCAAAATCCAACCATCCAATTACGTTCCAATATGACGAACGCGGATAGATCACCGCTCGAGTAGAATCGTTTAGATTTCAATTGTTTTTCAGACATCTGGAATTGTTTTAAATGATTAGTTCGTGAAATCAAAAAAATAGAAATTTAAGGATTAACTTCCACGTTAACAATCGCTAGCATTTCAGCGTGATATCAGTTGTCACATCACCGGCTAATCATATGATGCGTAACTCGAGTCAGAATTTGAATTTTGACTTTAGTTTGCATTTACCTTGGATGATAGAAATATTCAATATAAGCTATTTTCTCCGTTAAATTATTTTTTATTATTAGTTCATTTTATAAGCTGTCAAAAAAATGTTATTGCAATAATAATTCATACATGTCATTCACGAAGAATTACTTTCCATGTAATATTATTTATGCGTAATATTTTCATAGTGGTTGTTTTAACTTAGAGTACAATAATTAACATATGTATTACGTGGATGCATGGACAACGAGAACGCCTCTCTAACTGTGTTCGTAACTCACGGCCGACGCTCGTGCACAGCGCAGAGAGAGAGAAAGAGAGAGAGAGAGAGAGCGTGGCGCAGAAGAGCTGAAAAAACGATTGTGCAAGTACATTATTCGAAAGCACCACAAGTAGATGGTGGCTTGTTTCTTTGTGCAAGTGCATTTAGCTTTCAGTTTATAAAAATTCAATTTTGCTGTTGACAATTAGGAAGAAAACTGGTGATTTTGTGTGCGGCACGCCCGTAACCTGCTTCATGAATGCCGTTCTCGTCCACCTCGCTCAAGATCTCGTAAATTTTGGTGACTGCATTCGCCTTGTCTGTTGTGTTCTCTACTTTGCAGATCGCGCCGACGCGAATTTGTCGCGTCAGCTTGGATACAGCATAGAGATCATGGTGGGGACGGACAAATAACCTCGTATATACATATATATAAATATATATATTGAAGACACGATACAGAACGAGTCGGGACACGGTAGTTCGCAGTGACGGCGACAGCAACTGCCATTGGTGTTTCTTATCGAACGTGTGCAGCGCCACCATACATAAATTCTGCTGCTTCTGCTACAACAGAAGCAGCCGGCAGCGGGTATAGTGCATGGTGCGACTGTTCGCCGCCAAGTGCTAAGCTAGAGAGCGCGCGCCACTTAACCTGTGCATGGCATCGTCTGAATGTTAAGCAGCATTCAGTGTAACTATTTCGTTCGTTGTAAACCGAGTGGTGTTTGCTGGAGGTTAGGATCAGTTTGTGATGGCAGTATAAAAGCCGAATGTGATTGCAAACCAAGTGCTTACGTATTGTCAGAACATCGTTCGTTTTGTTCTGTTCAGTTGTCCGTCCCTCTCTCAGCAGCTAGCGTTCCCCCTCCATCTCATTCCGACTCGCTCGAGTTTTTTTCCTACGAGGCCGCGCGCGCGATCGTGCGTTGGGACTGTCGATCATTCTGTGTAGAAGATCATTTCAAAGCAAATCGAAACTCGACGGAGAGTGAGCGAGAAAGATAACGAGGGAGAGAGAGAGAGAGATAGAGAGAGAGCGCGCGCGTGAGAGGGATAGAGGTCGCAGAGTGAGTAAGGGCGAAAGCAGAGGGGACATGGAAAGTGTCGCTGCTGATGTGATGTGATTGCGAACGAGCGAGCGCACTGCTCCCAACCATCATGGCGGCTCCCGTGTTACAGTGGAAGAAAATCTCAAATCCGAGCGGGCCCCAGCCTCGACCTCGCCATGGGCATCGCGCAGTCGCCATAAAGGACCTTATGGTGGTCTTCGGCGGTGGTAACGAGGGCATCGTCGACGAGCTGCATGTTTACAATACTGGTGAGCATCATTCGTTTCCCGCGGCTGTGGCGGCGGCACCTCCATCATTGTTACGCTACATAGGAGAGGCTTCTACGCCAGAGACATGCTAATTCAACATGGCGGCTCACCGGCCGGATTCCATAGCCGCCATATTGCCAGTGTCTACGCGCTTGATGCCCCTCCTCCTATCTACCACTACTACTGCAACTGCTGTACACTCGGATTCCCTATAGGCCTTTATCTTCATTGTTTATCAATGAACGATCACTGGTCGCGAGCATGAAATAAAATTTTTGTGCATTCCTGGCAATTTTTTTTCATTTTAGCCGTTGTTACTAATTTACTATACGTTTACAGATATGCATATATATGTACGCACACAACGCGGTTCATTGCTTAAACTCGACGGTCCGTGTTTCGCGTTCCATAGCAAGCCGTTGCCGGCTGCATAGCACTGCCATTCCCAGCTGTTCCACCACATGTCATTGTTGTCAACGAAACTTTCAAATATCATTGATTCTTTTCAGCTACCAATCAATGGTTTGTTCCCTCGACGAAGGGAGACATCCCTCCCGGATGCGCTGCTTATGGATTTGTCGTGGATGGCACGCGTATATTAGTTTTTGGTGGCATGGTAGAGTATGGCAAGTACTCCAACGAGTTATATGAGTTGCAAGCCAGCAGATGGGAATGGAAGAGACTCAAGCCCAGACCACCCAAGCAGGAGCCTCCTCCATGTCCAAGACTGGGACATAGTTTCACTTTGATTGGAAATAAAGTCTTCCTGTTTGGAGGATTGGCAAATGACAGTGATGATCCGAAGAACAACATACCTCGATATTTGAATGACCTGTACATATTGGAGCTATTGCCAAACGGAGCCACAGCCTGGGAAGTTCCTACAACTCATGGTCATGCTCCTCCTCCCAGGGAGTCACACACAGGAGTTGCGTATACTGACAGAAGGACTGGGAAATCATGTCTGGTGATTTATGGTGGCATGAGCGGCTGTCGTTTGGGGGATTTGTGGTTTTTGGATGTTGACAGCATGACTTGGAACAAGCCTATTGTGCATGGACCTACTCCTTTGCCTCGCTCTCTGCACACAGCCACCTTGATTGGGCACCGAATGTATGTATTTGGTGGGTGGGTACCTCTTGTGGTTGATGATGTGAAAGTAGCCACCCACGAAAAAGAATGGAAGTGTACCAGTACATTGGCTTGCTTGAATTTAGGTAAGTATTTATGAACTTAATTATAACAAATCGACAAATAACAAGTACATGTCAAACGTCAATTTAGAATCAATGACCTGGGAGCAGTTGACTATTGACACAGTCGAAGAAAACGTACCTCGGGCTCGTGCTGGTCACTGCTCGGTCGGCATTCACAGCCGCCTGTACATATGGTCAGGTCGTGACGGTTACCGCAAAGCGTGGAACAACCAGGTAAGATCCAAACCATTTGTCTAATAATATTCAGGTTGTAAAAATGTTGCGGTGCGTAGGTGTGCTGCAAAGACCTCTGGTATTTGGAAGTGAGTAAACCACCAGCACCCTCACGTGTACAGCTAATCAAAGCGTCCACCCAGTCTCTGGAAGTCAGCTGGACGGCGACTCCTTCGGCCCAGTACTATATCTTGCAAATTCAGAAGTTCGATGTTCCTCCTACTGGTACCATCGTCAGTTTCTCTGGAACTTCTTCATCTGCAACGCCAGTTACCACCTCTGCCACTGGTTCTCAAGCTTTACCGAGTCTCGCCTCCAGCAATGCGAATGTTTCTCCGTCGATGTCAATAGCCTCATCGGGTAGACCAGCAGCAGTGTCGGCGGCAACAGCAGCAGCAACTGCAGCCGCCCAATCGGCAACGACACCGATTCGCATGCAAGCAATCGGCCAAAAGATGGCAAGTTCGCCTGCCGGCAGCAAGGTCGCAGTTGGCAGTTCCGTGGTTTCGCGTGCAACCAACGTTATTAGGATCCAGCAGCCCAATGTTGTGTCTAGCGGCGGCAATTTGGTGGTCTCTGCAGCTGCGACGACAAGTAGCACGCCCACGACAACACTCGCCGTTTCCAGTGGTACCACGACTACAAGCGTCGCGGCACAACCGACTGCGGCAATGTCCGGCATGGCCGCTTTGGCGGCCGCGGCTATGACTCACAAAGTAACGAACAGCGTGCCCGTAGTGGCGGCACAGAGCGCTACCGCAGCAGCGACCGCCGGGACTCCGATTAGGATGAAAACCGTAACCGGACAGCAAATTCGATTCGCCGCACCAGGTGCCACCGTTCTGCGAGCTACCTCGCCACAGCAGGGCAAGCAGATTATCCTGCAGCAAAAACCTGGTCAGCTGGTACACCTGGTGAAGGCGGGCAGTGGCCAGCAGGTGGTGACCATGCCTAAGATGAACCTGATACAGGGTAAAACCACGCTGCAGACCGGTGGGACTGTGGCGGGTAAGGCGGGTGCCACGCAGCAGCCAACCATCCTGAGGCTGGTCAGTCCAAACGCGGTAGGTGGAGCCAAGGTGCTAACCACGGTTAAAGGCACCAATTTGGTGGCCATGAGCAAGGCTCAGAACATCGCCGGCAAACAGACCATTATGCTGACTAAGCCCGGCGGCAACGGCAACCTCGTTGGCCGGCCGAATCAAATCATTATGGTGACTTCGGGTTCGGGTCTTCGCGCTGTGCAAGCCGTGACAACCTCACAGGCTGGTGCCGGCCAAGCTAGCAGTCTCGCCAGCACGCCTGTGAATGTGGTACCGCTGTCAGCTGCGGCAGCCAACCACGTGGGCAATCAACCAGGCGTTAAAATGATCGTGGTGTCGTCGAGCGCAATGGCCGGCGGCACCGCCGGCAAGCCGCTCACTATCACGATGCCCGGCCAAGGCGGCAAGACCGTTACTATTGCGACTAAGGCCGGCCAACAGATTCTACATAAGAACCAGCTGGTGGCCATGCCACAAATCCAGAAGGCCGCTGCTGCTGCTGGCGAGGCTACCGTTGGCGTGGGCAAGCCAGTCACGCTGCAGGTGCAGGGTGGCGGCAAGACTGTCACCCTCGTGCCGACGAGCAGCTCGATCGTGGCTGGCTCACAGGCAGACGCGATTGATACCAGTAAAATGCTCATCGTTTCACCACAGAAGCAGCCATCGGCTACGTTGGCGACTAGCTCGGACGGTCCTGCGACCACAGACGCGGCCTTGGCAGCCCTGGCTGCCGAAGCCGGACTCATCGATCCGCTACCAGAGCCTTCAGGTGGTCTGTCTTTTATGATGGCCTGTGACGATGCTCAGGAGCCCAAAACCACCGTCTCTGCTGCTCAAGAAGGTTGCAATGGTAGTCAGGATCCAGCTAACACAGCCCTGACAACGGAGCCCATACAAATGGATGGCGACGGCAACATTGTCATACCGCAGCTTGACGGCCCAGGAGATCTAATTTTCTCGGAGGATGAGAGTGAAGCCGCGGCCGGAGAAGAGGAGCCGTCCACCGTAGCCGCTGAAACCGAAGCCGTAACTAACTCCAATGCCCAAGAAGAAATGGAGCAAGATGTCGCTGCCATCACCGGTGAGACCGGTGAAACTGAGCCGACGACGTCAACCACCACCGACGAGGTCAACAAGGAGGCCGAGCTTGCTGCTGAGTCGACGCCCACTCAAGAATCCGAGGCGATGAGCGTCGAGGACATTTTGGCTGGCAATGAATCACCAACATCCGAAGATAAGCCGACAAGTACCGAGGTAGACGCTTCGGAGGCTAGCGCGAAAGACGCACCCACTGAAGAGAAAGCAGCAGAGATAATCGAAGCAACCGAAAAAACAGATCTCCCCGTGATCGAAGAGACACAAAAGAAAGAACAAGAGGAGACGCCCGACGCCCTACAAGAAGAAGAAAAGAGACAACAGGAACCTGCAGAAGCGTTAAAGGATCAAACGGAGTCGAAAAAGGTCGCGGAAACGGAGAAACTGACGATGGAATCGACCGAAGAACCCCTCGTCGAGCCGCCGACTGCTAACCAGATATCTAGTGAGGAAACATCTAGCTGTGCCGAGGCTCAAGCTGAGAAATCTCAAGAGGTGGAGGAACCAGCCAGTGGAGCTCTAACGGTAACTGCGACTGATCCTGCCGCACCAAAGGTTACTGATGAACCCATGAACGTTGATGAGCCGGAACCAACGCCTGTCGATACAACAACAGAGCCTACAAACCCTGAGCCATCTGTCCCAGAGATCAAAGAAGAAGACTTATCGTCGAAAGATGAGCCAATGGATGAGACTCCGGAAGTCGTCGGTGCTACAGCTCCAGACACGGCTGGTGGTCAGGCTAAAGCCACCACAGAGATACTTCAACCCAAAGTTGAAACTACAATTAAGGTTGAAGAGACGAGTACAGCCTCCATCAAGCAGGAAAAACCCGACGATTCAACAGGCGACGCTTCGATAGCTCTGACTACACTCGCAACGGCTGCCTTGAGTTCGACTCAGTCGGCACAGGTAGCTGCGTCTGCTACTGCTACTGCAGCTGCAGCTACTACTACTACTGCAGTTGCTACTGCTGTTGCTGCCAGGCCTAAAGTCGAGCCCTCGATTAATAACGCCACTAACGTAAGTAAATTCTATATCGATTGAAATATTTTTATCGCTTCGCATATCAACTGAAACAAAGCGATTTTACAGAGTATAGAAATTAAGGAAGAAGAGAAAAAGGCGGTAGAATGGCATGATGTCGGAATTATAAAAGGCACAACTTACACGGTTTCACATTACTTTCTTCCGGGGAACCAACAACAACCAATGGATGTGACTCATGCTCTGACTACGGATTTATTCAAAGGCAGGGCTAAAGTAGCTCTGGAACCTGGAACTGCGTACAAATTCCGAGTTGCTGCTGTAAATAGTTGCGGCCAAAGTCCTTGGAGTGAGGTAAGTCTGTGTGTGTGCGCGCGCGCGCGTATGTGCTTACGCACATATATTCATATTTTAATTTGTTTATTGATTTTTTCGCAGATATCAGCTTTCAAAACATGTCTTCCTGGCTTTCCTGGTGCTCCAAGTGCTATCAAAATAGTAAAGTCTCCTGATGGTGCTCAACTTTCGTGGGAACCGCCGTCCAGCAACTCTGGACCAATATTAGAGTATTCCGTGTATTTGGTTGTACGAAGTACTGGTGCCATTTCTGAGAATACTGGAGATGTAACATCGACGACACCTACGCAACCTTCGTTTATTCGAGTTTACTGTGGACCCACTAACGCGTGCTCTGTCTCCAACAAATCATTGAGTGCAGCTCACGTAGACACTACTACTAAACCGGCTATTATTTTTAGAATAGCTGCGCGCAATGACAAAGGTTACGGACCTGCTACTCAAGTGAGGTGGTTGCAAGGTGCGTAAATCATGATTATTCGCATATATTAACTCATGTTCAGTCATTAATTAAGTTAAATTTTACTTTACAGATCCAACGACAGCTGTTAAAAATACTATACAAGGAAAACGAATTGGAACAGATATGCGCTCTCAGATCAACTCACCCATGAAGAAAATAAAAACAGATGCGACGAACGATAATTTTTCGTGAGCTACTTGAATTATATGACTACAAAAATACATTATTTGTAATTGAGTTTTTGCTCGTGCGTTGCCCGAAAACGACAACGACCGTGAGTTCGTTTAAGAATATCAAAAGAACGAAATAATTTTAAGCATATAAGAGTTTTGTTTAGCATTCAGTGCATGGATTTGTGCTTTAGATGCTAAGAAAGGAAAAATATATCGAGTTGTTTTTAATGTCTCTGTGCTGGAAGACTTGTCAAAGACAAATATAAATAGATTTACACAAAATCACCATCAAAGACTTCAAGCTTCAAAAGACATTATAAAAAAGGAGTCTACTTTTGATTTCGAGTTTCAAATCCTACATTTTTATATGTATTTATATATATAAATATATATATATATATATATAAATATCTATAAATGAATATAAATATATATATTTATATTTGTGTATATTTATATATATATATATATACACATACATATTTATGTATGTACATATATATTTCTTTCAATTTTGTGTCTCCTAATTAGACTGCAATACATGTAAGATGAGGGAAGCGCTAAAGCGTTTAAAAGTAATCATCTTGTGTTTAATAAAACAACGAGATGATATTGTCTAAATGAGTTCGAAAATAATTTTTTGTAATTTTGAAAATGTATGCTTACAATATTATTATTTCTCAACATCACTGAATACTGGCAATTTTTTTTATATAAATATAATTATATGTTAAAAAGATTCAGTTTCTCCAAGTGGTATTGTTTAGCGAGTATATAAGTATATTAGAAATTTTTAAATTAAAATATATTAATTGTACATTGAGAGTAATATTAATATAAGCTAATATTTCGAATAATTGATGTAAACAAACAAGTGGGATTTAATAACTAAAGTTTTTAAATTATTTTCTGGATGCTTTTTATTAATATTTATGTATCCTGTTTTATGTTCCCTTTCAAAACCAAATTTAAATAAACAAACATTCTCCATGTGTATGTGATTGTACATAAATTTAGAAATTTCATTAATTTTGAGAAATAAATATATGAAAAAAATTTTTTTTTGCTACCACATTTGTACAAATGCATGGAGGTTTCAATAACTAAATACGTGTGTATACATGCTTAGTTACTGTGTTATTGGTATAGACCAATGTTGAAATTGTCTTAGGAAGAATTATTAATCCTGAAGAATTTTACAATTATTCAGAAATAACTTTACTTAGCGGACGGTGATTGCGGTGTTAATATTATCTACATAAGAATTAAGCTCAGTGATAATTTTAAGGTAATCGTAGTACTGTAATGAAGGTAAATATTAAATTTAAAATATATTTTATAGTTCATTTTTGTTCCTTGATTAAGTACGCAGTGCATCAAACTAAAATTATGTATACTGTCATCCAAGTGGCATGTTGAAATTGTAATTATCAATATTTCGTTTGTATTGCTCATTATTTACTAGTTTTATTTGATTCCCGTAGAAGTTAGGAAAGTTTGAGCTTTAAATTATCACTGTAGTTATATTTATCAATAATCATAAAAAATTACCTAATGGACAATATGTCAAACATTTTTCATACTTTGAAATTGCGTGTGATCATATATTTTCTACTGACATCAAATCATTATTGACTTAATAATTTACTCTTAAGAAAATACCTATACAAGCATCATGTATGTACATATGAGCACACATAGAAAAAATATATATTATACGTAATAAAAGAAATAATTGGTAGTTTTTCATGTATACGTTATTATTATACAATTACCAACTTTTGACAAATTTATTGCAAATGAAAAAGAAAAAAAACAATTATTCCGAAGTAATTATAATCTTTAAAATTTTTAATTTATAGTTTTATTTACAATTTTCTTGAACAAAATAGTATTATTTTAAATAATTAATCTATAATTTAGTAGTTTATTCTTGGAAGATTTAAACGAATCAATTGTTTCGAAAGTAAAGTTGAACAAATTTGAATTGGCGTCTCGCCACGGCAGTGCCCACGACGTACAACATACATAGGTACGTCGCTCGCAGAGCAAACGCAGGTCACGCAGGTTATATAACGACGTTGGTGCGCTGCTAATGCTGACCGCTGATTTCTATTCGATGAACGTGAACGTCATTGTACATTTTCTCGTTTATGCTGTAATTTCAAATTAGACGGTTGCTTGAAAACGGCTGTTTAAAAGTCCACGTTCTTCGATGTCCTTTTAACGACGCTGTGCTTGATTTGGCAAGACTCAATTTAATCCACAAATTTTTTAATATTTATAATTTGACTACAGTTTGAATTAGGTAAGAAAAAAATTACTTTAAATTTTATTGATTTCACCTTTTTACGTTATTTTATTTACTGTGCCTTGGACAGCTCTGCTGAATAAGAACAGAAAATTTGACAATGCACGCGTCCTTGCTCCATTAGAAACCTTACTTTTCGATTGTATAAAATTCTTGTCAAACTAAAGTTAAACCTGGTGCATGATACTTTTATTATCAAATTCAGAACAGAAAGCATGTCTCATTTACGGTACATGAAGGAATTGAATAGTTTGACTAGAATGGACGATGCTATCAAAGGACCTGTGCCTAGATGGCAGAAAAAATGTTTAGATTCATCTAGCTCTTCCAGGTATAACAGGACTTATAAATTTATTATTGTCATAAAAAAGTACATCTAATTACGTTTATCTTAAATAATTTTATAGTGTCAATATGAGTTTGAATAGCTCTCGGAAAGCTATGAGTAGTTCAATGTCTAACAATAGTATTAGCACAGGAAAGACACCCAAGAAAGTATCAGAAAATTCTATTCGGATCAGAAGCAAAACTCCATCAAAAGGAACAAAAAAATCACCAAGTAATATTTGAACTTATAAAACTTAACTAACAAGATTGATTATCAATAACAATCAATATTACAGGTCGATCTACAACACCTACATCAAAAACTCCCTGTGCAGGTGATAGATTCATTCCTTCAAGGTCAACTACAAACTTTGAACTTGGATACTTCAAGGTAATAATTTGTAAACAATCTTGAAGTAAATCTGTATTAATTTCATTAATTAGTTACAGCAAACTCATAACTCTGATCAAGAAAGCAATGCATCAGATTGTTCAAGTCCTTCCAAACGTGAAATGCAACGTTTGATTGGAGAAAATTTACATGGAGGAGATGTTAATAGCATGAGAGTACTTTGTTATCAAAATAAGGCTCCAGCCCCTCCTGACGGTTATCAAAATCCTCTTAGAGTGGTGTATAGTCAAACAAAAACTCCATCCAGTGTTAAGTCCTCATCAAGATACATTCCACAAGCACCAGATCGTATTCTTGATGCACCTGAAATTGTTGATGACTATTGTAAGTATTAATTGTTGAACTAGAAATAATTAAGTTGCTTTATAAACATGAATTTCAGATTTGAATTTAGTTGACTGGTCATCAAGCAATATTCTAGCAGTAGCTTTAGGAGCAAATGTTTACTTGTGGAATGCTGGAACTGGCACAATAGAGCAACTTTTTGAGCTAGATGGCAATGATTATGTATGTTCGGTGGCTTGGATTCAAGAAGGCCCATACTTAGCTGTAGGAACAACTGTAGGTAATACAGAATTGTGGGATTGCAGTCAAATGAAAAGAGTCAGAGTTATGAGTGGCCATGCTGCTAGAGTCGGATCTCTTGCTTGGAATTCTCACATATTGACAAGTGGTTGCAGGTAATTTTGTTTTATGTTTTTGTCACTTGAAATATTAATAATTGAGCAATGATTTGCATAATAGAGCAGGTCAAATTGTTCATCATGACGTGAGACAACGTGAACATCTTGTGTCAACAATTAATGCACATGCACAAGAAGTTTGTGGCCTGAAATGGTCTCTTGATGGAAAGTACTTAGCAAGTGGAGGAAATGATAACATGCTCCAAATATGGCCATGCATGGCTGGTCAAAATCATTCTCATGTACAGCCTATTTATTCTCTCAACCAGCATCAAGCTGCAGTAAAAGCTCTTGCATGGTGTCCTTGGCAAAATCATGTTTTGGCAAGTGGGGGTGGTACAGCTGACAGAACCATCAGATTTTGGAATTGTAATACAGGTAATAATTGTAATTTAATGAATAAGAACTAACTTCAAAAGCTGATTACCTAATATTTTGTTATTTTCTATCCAGGTGCATGTCTAAATACAATTGACACTAAGTCTCAAGTTTGCTCATTACTTTGGTCTACAACTTATAAGGAAATAGTATCTGGTCATGGATATGCACAAAATCAACTGACAATTTGGAAATATCCAGCTATGACTAAAGTGGCTGAATTAACTGGTCACACTAGTAGGGTATTGCATCTTGCAATGTCACCTGATGGGACAACAGTTCTCAGTGCTGGAGCAGATGAGACATTGAGACTATGGAAATGCTTCATACCAGATCCACACAAAAAGAAAGAGTACATAGAATCGAAATCTGTAGTTTCGCGTTTGAAACAATCCATAAGATGAGACTTGAATTAGCCAATAAGATTTAAAATTATTTTTTTACACTCTGTGAGTTGTGATTTACATGAATATTTTGTAATACTGAGAATGAAGACTTGTAATCATGACTTGTTGTTTAAGTTAGATGATTTTTTACTTTTTATTAATGTACTGCAACTTTAAGATGATGAATTTCTTACTGATATTTTTATGCAACTTGGTCACTTGTCATGGTTAGCTATTAAAATATAAAACAACTTTTGATTTATGAAATTTATTTTATTCTATAAAATCTTAGTAAATTCTTGCACTCTGTAACTCTGTTATACAATTCAATTTTTGTGCATACTTGATTAATTAATTAGTAATGTGATGATCATTCTATCTTTTAATTAATGGTTTTTATTTAGCAGTGTTCGCCCTTTATCCCTTAGATAAATTAATATTATATCCTAGAAACTATTTATACATGTTGTACAATTGATTGCAATCTTCTCTAAATGAAAACTTTGCCCAAAGTGTTTCATTATCAATTTGATTTTTTGTATTGAATAGTTGCAAATGGAAATTGACATTTTATCTCAAGTTCTATAAAATTATTTATCAATGGCTTTCTGGAAAAAATAGTAGCATTATAGGGGATTAGCATTAAAAACATGATTCCTGTAGTAATCTAATTCTTGTATGCTTTCTTTGATATCATCTAAAGCCCTGTGATTTAACTTTTTTTTCGGAGCTGCTTTATGAATTTCAGGCTGCCAGCGTCTAGAAAATGAAAAAATGTAAATTAATTTTTATAAATGCAATTTGCATATTTTATGCCATTGTCATACTTGACGACTTCTTTGATGGATGAAACGTCAATAATTCTATAGTGCATGTATTCATTTGAGAGAGGCAAGTATTTTCGAAGAAATAAACGATCTATATATACAGAGTTACCAGCCATTGGACACTTTCCTTTTGGTAAGTATTTCATCATAAAATTCAATAAATTTCTATCCACCGACTTTTCATCTTCCGTACTTCTTCTACAAGCTTCAGTAAGTCCAGTCTGTGAAATTATTAACATTTATTTCAAACGAAAATTTTTAAATAATTTTAAATAGTACAAAATAAGTCTTATTACACTGCTATGCATGTTTGTACACCATTCATTCATTGCATTCAATTTGCTGTCTGGTTGATATAAAATAGTGGAAAACTCTTCACTAACAATATGTAAATTTTCATCAGTTACTAAACAGGCTACTTCCATTATCCTATCCTTTTCAACATCAAGTCCTGTCATCTACAAATATGCGGTCATGTTTTCATAAAGTAATAGCAATATAATTTTATTAAGTAATTTAGTAGAACAGACATATGACGAACCTCCAAATCAATCCAAACAATTCGATTTTTATTTTGATTGTTAGACATGTCTTCAGATTCTGATGATATTACAGTATCTGATATTTCAATGGGTTGGGTAATTACTGTTTATCCCAACAGAAATGTGAAAATTTTATTAAGCTTATAGTTAAAATACTATACATATTTATATATTTTAGCATATAAAGCTAAAATGTTATATTATTTTGAGTATGAATAATTTTCTGAGTAGTATATTAACAAATAATTATTGTAATAGTACCCTTTGTGCAGAAGTAATAAGAAACAGCTGGTTGAGTAAACTTTTTCACACAATTATGAACACATCTCAAAATTGACATATTCATCAAGAGTGAAGTGTATTAATTCAAAAATTGTTTGCGTAAGGATCAACTAAGAAATAAGACAAATGTAAATTGATACTTTCGTAGACATGTAAACACGTGTTCTTTGTGTATTTGCATTAATAACTTGCTCTTGTTTGACCGCGAAAGAAAAGTTCATGTTTAACTCTATTCACCCTCAATTTTGACATACTTTGAATTTGTAATCGGAAAACATTTTTAACAAACTTTACTATTTTATTTGTTTATATTGACTATATTCTATCGATATTTAATTGGTATTCGTTTACCATTTCAATAATTTTTAACTTATAAATGCATATGTGTGTACATATACATGTGCATGTGCAACTGCGATCTATGTTAGCCTTAGGGTTTTTACATAATAATTCAGACACATTGGAAATGATACGAAACGCTGCGCGCAACTATATCTGTGCAACGTGAACAGTCTACTGCTAGGAATTTTTTTAAAGTGCAAGTTTTAAAAACAAAAAGTATGAAAAATTAAATCAAACAAATGTATTACATCCTATAATGTCTTTGTATATAATTATAAACTGAATTTAAAGTTTTTATGGTTGCTGTTTTTTTTTTTCAATATCTTAGTGAATTGAAAATAAATAACAACAAATTTTTAAGATATTCTTTATTAGAGCTCTTTCGTTGATACTTTAGATTATCTATTTGTATATATATATCTTATTTTTATTATATCATATTTTACATCACATACTTTCGTATAAAATATGCAGTGAAAACAGTTATACATTTCAAATGTAAAAACTACGTTTAGCAATGTTATATATACAGCTTATATATTTAATTATTTTTTCAATACTTCATGCGCAAAAGTGTGTCTTTCTTGTACGCTCGGCAGTAATTAACGTGCGTTGAAAATCGCACTTTCCACACGTCGTATAGGCCCCGGTCCCATAGGTACGTACGGATGCGGACGGATACGGACGCGATCGCAACTCTTGTAACATCACTAAAAATATCTAGTTCGATTATTTAGTACCAACACTACCGGTAGTGAGCAAAAGTGACTGTTGTTTAAAACTGTAGCGTCGAACGTACCACATTTAATGAACGCCTATCTAACCTTTACATTATTGCAGTCAATAAGATGGCAAATGATAGAGAATTGATAGACTTTCAACTACAATTAGTGGAATTAGGCCTTAATTTTATGGAAGTACTTGAATATATGAGAAGAAGAAGAAAATATATAAAAATGATATGTATTAATCATCCCAAAAACTTTTTTTACATTAGCATACTCATCAATAAGCAATATTCATGAAAATTTGAAAAGTAAATTGTAGACCTGACATTTGAACATTAAATGTGTACGTTCGGCGCTACAGTTTTAAACAACAGTCACTTTTACTCACTACCGGTAGTGTTGGTACTAAATAATCGAACTAGATATTTTTAGTGATGTTACTACAGTTGCGATTCGCGTCCGTATCCGTCTGCATCCGTACGTACATACCTATGGCACCGGGGTCATAAAAAAATACGATTCGGCACATTACATGTTCGGGAAAGAGTTTCGTGTCTCGGGTAATATATCGGATAATATACGGGTAATCACTCGAGCATAAACGCCACACGAGACAAGAATCTACTTTCCCGCACTTGTATCGTGATGTATACTAATATCTACTACAAACACCAGATTCACTTAGTTTATAAGAAAACTATCAGAGTTCTTAATGTTCTAAACTCACATTTTGCTGTATAACCATTAATTTTATTTATTCTACTAATAGATGACTAATTAGTAAATTAGCATAATTATATGTATGATTATGATGAAAATATGTTAACGACCAACATCTTAAAATTTTTTTGTTATTATTTATATTCAATGCACTGAGATATTGAAAAACGGTCAATCATTTAAAATAATGCAACTATAAAAACTTAAAATTAAGTTTATATACAAAAACATTAAGATTTAATATATTTGTTTGATTTCTTTCTTCATAATTTTTGTTTTCAAAATATGCGCCATTCAAAGAGTCCCAGCGCGCACAGATGGCTGCGTGTCATTTTCTAGTCGCATGTCGGAATTCATGTCATATTGGAAGTATCTGAACTGTTCTGTAAAAACCCATGCAAATGGAGTGATACAATTAAATACAATACAAGTATATAGAATATAATTAGGTTTTTGTAATCACCTGACAACATGGATAACAATTACAATAAAATTTTATATTTGGGTTTGACACAATAGAGCATTTTCAATTGTGACGTTATGAGCAAATGGCGGTATACTCGAGGATAAAATTAAAATTCGGACTTTAGTATTAAATTGTAAAATGTTAAACGACATCATTCTTATACAGGATAATAGTCCAATTTATATAAAATTTTTACTTCGTAAACTTTCCAAATATATAATTTTGTATGTAAACGCCGTCTCACTGACGAAATGTGCAGTTATAAATATTTGGAGTGTTTTCTAGCGCAATATAGTAATTAATTTTTATTGTAATGATAATCGGTGTGATGCCCGTAAAAAATATTTTTCGCATATTTATTTTGACATATAATATATTTTGAATTATTAATTTTTTTACAAAGTGATCATTAAAAAAATAATAATTAATTAGGTTACGTATGAATCGCAAGTAGAGTTGTGGTCGTCGTGGATTGAGCTTAAGGGCTTTTCCACATGAGGAAATATTCCCGTAATGTTTTTGTTCTTGTGTGATTTTGCACCTCCCGGAACATTAGTATAGTTCACCGTCTACCTCCGTACACGTATTCAGTGATTTAAGAAGTGTTGCAGAAGGCGCAAAATACGTCCGCCTTTGTTAACTTCTTAAACCACAGAGTATATAAACAAAAGTAGATTATGAACTGTACTAATGTTTCGAGAAGTATAAAATCATACGGAACAAAAACATCACAAGAATATTCCATCATTCCTAGTGTCGAAAGGCTCTAAGGGGAATGGGTGATTATTTTTTAAATTTACAGGGAAATGTACGGTCTCGATATGAAGACGAAGTGAAAATAATTAATTATGTTGACCAGTATATATTAAAAAAATGAATGTGATATAAATTAAAAAAAACTTGTCAGCTATATAGTTGATAGATATTGTTAACTAGGTCACATTAAAAATTAATGATTCAGACAATATTATGCGAAAAATATTTTTTCATGAGCGATACATAAGTTATTATTAAAATAAATATTAATTACTATACACATGAATGTTTCACTGGAAATAATTATAATTATTACAAAGCTTTCTGCATATAATAACTAATCGTGTTTTCAAAGTTTATGGAACAATTTTAAATAAGTCGATACTATAGAAGATTAATGAGTTGAATATTTTATATTTAAAAAAAAATTAAAGCCTAAATTTTAATTTTTTTCCAAGTATGTGTCCATGTTGCTTGTAACGTCACAACTGAATATTCTTTATATAAACATTACCTGCCACAATTAAAAAATGAGCACCTTCTAGAATTTTCATTGCTTATTACTTTCAAAATTCTATTTCTTAATTATCAAAGTTTACACAATATTGTATATAAAATTTCCAAAAATACGATATAGGATTTAGTTAAATTCGCGTACGTGTATATTTTGGGATTGGCGATCAAGTCCATTATATATAGACAACATTTACATGAAAATCGGTCACCTATACGCACCATCATGCAGAGCGAATCGCAATAGCCTGGAAAGCAGATCATATATTGAATAATGGTATTAGATTGGAACTTGATATTGCCAATATAAAGAAATGTTATTTATGCACAGTGACATTCTATAAGAAAATCAACATTGATTAAACCTATTCATTCTAATCTACACAATAAATAAGTTTGATAATTTTTTCGAGAAGTTTATTCGTTACCTAAACTTTGTTAGATTGCTTTTTTACATGAAAATGTCAAAACTAATGAATTGATAAATATACATTAATATATTATAAAATTTAATATAACAAAGTTACATCTTTGTATATATACAAAATTTTATAATACAAGTTTGGTAATTTCAATGGACATTCACTGTCTTAATTTTGTCTATATGCTTGCAAATGACGATTTATATTTATATCTAATATAATAAAGAATTTTTATTAATACTAGAAAGAACTTATTTTCAAAAACTTGAAAATGTTCCTTTCAATAAAATATTTTTACATCACAATTAAAATGTTAAGCTATTCGCCAATTGTGCAGTAATATAAAACCATTGATACACCAACTTTAATATAAACTAGCCTTTTTTTCGTATATTTTTTTTGTAACTCATCTTGGATAATTGGATAATTGATAATAATGCAATTTGATTATAAATATTATAATATGCATTAAGTCTCTCTGCAAATCAGATATGTTACTTTCATGTCCAAAAATTTATGCGACCAATAGAATAATAATAGAAGACAAAATGGAAATTCTATACAAGCAAAGTTGAACATTGAATATCGATAACAAGAAATAAATATCTTATCATCTTTTATATTCTTGTCACACTGTTGATAAAATACAACACTTTTATTTTTGTTATATCTTTAATTTATATCTACCTGTGCACCAAGGAAACACTTTTTATAGTTCATTTTTTGCACAATCATTAACACACTCATATACTTAAATAATTCGAACATACTAACAAAAATAAGCTTATTAACAAAAGAAATTTATAAATTATCATTTTTCAATTGAATCGAATTCAATTCAATTTTTCAAATAAAGTTTGCAAAGAATTTAATTTTCTGTAACAAAGTTTCGTTTCTTTTTTCAAAGAAACCCCAGCAACATAAGTCACATTCGATATAATTTATAAGTAAAATTGCTAAAATATATATTTACAAAAACAAGAAGCAAACGTATGTAGTATTAAAAAAATAGTAATGTATTTGAGTCTTTTAATTGAAAAGACTCAAACTAATGTCTTTTGAAAAAAGTTTGTTATTAATCGATCGACTAAGCTTCATAATAATAATAAAAAGTTATCTTTTTCTAGAACTTCGTATATTTTTGGGGATTGTCAGGTTTTCTTTAGAATTTCCGTAAATTATAGCAATTAATCGCTGAATTTTCACAGAAAATCTTCTATAATCACGGAAGACGAAACTGTGTCCTGTGTTAAATCATTCAGCATGGCAGTTATTTTTCTTCACATTCAATCAAAATAAATAATAATCAGAAATATTTGTTTCTAAATCAGTCCTTAAATTATTTATGGGAGTTTGATAATTGGAAAATGTTGATGGCACGAGAAGTCGAAAATTGGAGGCTCTTTCGAATCTTTTTTATGCCCACCAGAGAGTAACTTTAGTACGATGAAATTCGTCTTAGCTACTTTTAGTAAATCATTTATCTGCGAACAAATAACATAATTGAATTAATGTAAATTGATTTTAATTACTAAAAAATTACTACAAAAACTTTAATTTCACCTCATTTACAGTATTAGGATTAGCAGGATTAAGTTCGAGTGCACGATCCAACATATTTTTAGCTTGATGAAAATGACGACAACCGTCGAAATATTGAGTTTCGCTGCTGTTTTTTTCCTAAAAAATGTTGTCCATTCATATAGTGAATATAGTAATTCTATCCAATTTATACGTACATAAAAATGTAAGCTTACGTTTCTGTACATTTGAGCATTTGTCATTTCGATAAACTTTTTATAGTGAACTGGTGGTGGTGTGATCAATGAGGAAAAAGGTAAAAGTCGATGTTCGTATCGCACTCGTTCGCAATCGAATTGAATTTCCGGTAATGGTATTCTATCGTCCATACGAAAGCCAACTAATGCCTAAAAATAAATGATTATTTAAAAATAATTACAATTACGTACTGTGAATCGTAGTTTAACGTCACTATACATTACCTTATAAAATCCTCCACAAATATTTTGCATGGCTTGATACAACAGTATTTCTAAGTAATATGGTCTGGGCGTTGCTTTCTTTTTTTTACTTTTGGCACTCTTTTTACTACTTCTGCCTTTCTGCTGCTCATTATGCATGTCTTGCTCTATGATAAATGTGTCAGCCCTTGTTATTGCAGACACAAGCCAACCATATAGAAACTCAAAGAGATACCAAAATATATAATGATATTCATGAACCGAATAGAGCTCAAGTTCAAAACCACTTAACAAATACATGACCATTACGCGCAATGTATGGTACAAAATCCACGTTCCAAAACATGCCAAATGAGGCCTTGGTGTATCACTTTTGAGTGATAGTGTATGCATAAAACTATCGACTCGTTCAGCCTGCAAAAATGTATAATATTTATAATAATTAACGGTATATAAAAATAAATACTTATTAAAGTATGTCTAATATAATACCTCATCCTGCAAAGCTGCACAATTTTCAAATAGGTATGCTAATCTATCTCTTTGTCTAGCTCTGTTATGGCCAGTTGTTTGTAACAAAATTGCAAAAAAACTGGCACAGTGTGCTAAAAATTTATCAACACACTCTTTTGCTTGAGTATTTTGCAATAAGCTGCTCTTTGGCAACAGCGCAGGTGGTGCAATGAAATTTCTCGCTGCGTCTCTCAGAATGTCAATAAAATTATGAACACCAAAGACGCGATTCACTGATGGCAAATAAACAATTTGCAGCATTGATCTAGACAATATACAAGGACTTTGTCGCGAGAATTCCAAAAAAAAGTCCTAAAACATAAGATAACGAATTAAACAAAACAAAATAATACCAGTAATAAATAATTAAAAACATTACCAAAGCAGCATGAAAACTAGTATAGCTTGTAATTTTAGTTACAGTTTTAAACCGATTTATAAGTTCATCTATATATTCAAGGGCTTCAACTCTTGGTTTAATTTTAGTATATCTTGGAAATGTAGGTGGCAGTAATCTTTGGTTAATCATTGGATCAAAACCCATCACATTAGGGTGATTTGCTAGAAAAAAATCAGAAAGCTTTTTAGAAAATCAGCAACTTTTTGTAATAGAATATTTAAAATTACTTACTGATTTCATCAGCCTTTATTCCTCTACTGATTGTTTTTATGATAACTTGTATCATATCCGAACAATTTGAAAGAAGACGTTGAGATCCACTCAAATTTAGTTGGAGCTGCTCTTTTCTTCCCATTAGTGTTAAAATTTGATAGAACATTTTTGTAAACCGTATCCTAGCATAAAGAGCTAATCCGTCGTTATACTGGAAAAATAAAAATAAATAACATTACAATAACATTGATTTAACTTTGTGTTGGAATTAAATCAAATATAAACCAATTAAAATTTTTAATTTAACCAATTAATAAATCACTGCCTAATTTACTTTTGTAGTAAATATGTTCATTTTAATCATCAAATATTACCTCTCTTTCTGTCTCATCGTCAACAGGCTTAATCCTACTTTTCCTGTGCAATTCTTCTTCAACTTCTCTCAGCATTGAAGTAGTTTTTTGTTCTGTAATATCTGGCTGTAGTTTATAACCTCCATACATAACACTCTGGAAGTCCTCTTCTTCATACACGGAAGCTTTTATGATACACTCCCTAATTTCCTCAATTATTTTATAAACAGCATAACAAAAAGTTTTCAAAGTCTTATCAATAATTTGATCGGGTTGATGCAAGTACAAATTAGTAAACACTGTCTGTGCCAAACTATGACCCTCCAACCATGAAACTATACAAGCATAAGTCGAATCAATAATGCCAATGATCTCTGAAGGGGTAAGACCATCTAGCTTAATAATTCCATTATCTGCTGCCTGTGAAAATGTGTATGGCTTATTGTTGCCTCGATTACAGAGCATTCCAGCATCCATTTTCGGATCCATCATCTCAATAGCAGACATTGCATCAAACAATCCAAACAGCTCATCATGCACCAATTCTCCTAACTCCAATTCTAGTTTGGCAATTATAAAAATTTATTAATATTTAAACATTTTATAAAATTCTTTTAAATGTTATGGCATAATATTTATACGAATTTCTGTAAAATAATTTTTTTCAATATCAAACTCACCTTTGATAGCTTCAAAGAAATCTTGTGTAATATCCACCCAGTAGAACGATTCCTGCTCGAGGCTGAAAAGTGCCATATTCATTAATGTTAATTTTCAATATCAATTTGTAAATTTACTGAAATATCATATTTGAAAAAAATTTTTAAATTAATTATAGAATTCGTCAGCTTGCATACGTCATAATAATAGAATTGAGCTAAACTATTTGTCACACTGTCATTCTAAATAACGTTTAAACTATATCGACAATTGTCATCGTGAAAGTACTTACGTTTCTTTTTCATCACACATTTTTTCTAAGAAATTTTGTTCTTCTACAAATAACCTCGCCATTTTTGTGGCTCTTTTCCTTTCTTTTCCTTTGCAAGCTAAATTTCTCTATATATAGTGATAAAAAACTAACCTTGTTTACACACCTTCTCATCACAAAGTGTTGCCACTATTTCAGATTAAAATTCCACTGCGAACATCAATTTTAGTGAATTATTATGGTGTTTTGAGCTTGTTGCTAAACCTGCTTAGCTATTTTTCATTATTTGAAAAACAAATGTTATTAAATAAAATTAAATCAATGTTTCAGTTATTAGTTCATCTAAAATTATTATATTTAGACATTTAAAATTTAAAAATTGACATTGTAGATACAAGTTTAGCTGTATATAATGTTGTCATTAGTTCATTAAATCATTCAAAAAATTTAACAAAAAAACCGCTTTTTATGTCAATTACGAAAAAATTAACATTTTTCAAAGGAATAAATACCTACTAAAATATTTCAGGATTTCTTCGCCTTGCACGCAAAAACAGTAACGTGCTTTGAACGAATGACGGTCAAAGTGATTCGCTATTCACCATGCACCCCCACACTCGCAGAATGTGCAAACCAGCCGCTTATATGTGTACACTGTGATAACACACTCGGCGCAGGCTGGAGAAGCTTGAGAGATAAAAAGCTGCTTTTGATACGCAATTTGTATTTTTATACAAACCGTATGGACAAAATTTATTTTTAAGCATTTTATGTTATAACACTCGCAATAAATATTTGTTTGGTCTATATCATTCAACAGGTCCTAGAATTGAAAGCTTCTGTTATAGCGTCACTCGCACGTCAATCAAAAAAAAAGAGAGGCTTTAAAATGTCAGAGTGTAATAAAATAGATCATTATGACAAAAATTTTGATAAAGTAAGTCCTTAATTCTTTAATATCTACGTTATTTTAATAACAAAATATGTTCCTATTTGACTCTTCATGAGAGTTTTATTTTATACTGATTGTTCTATTTTTAGGAGCATCCAAAAAATTTGATACCAGAGCTTTGCAGACAGTTTTATGACTTGGGATGGGTCACTGGAACTGGTGGAGGAATTTCCATAAAACATGAGTAAATTTGAAGTTATTTATTTTTAATTTTATGTGAATAAAATACTATATAATACCAAATTAATGCTAGATAAGCTCAGCAAGGAATATTACTGGAATTCATTCTGTTTTTTAGTATAAAGATTAACTGTTACAATTATTGAAATTTTCAGAGACAAAATATACATTGCTCCTTCTGGAGTACAAAAAGAAAGAATTATACCAAATGATATGTTTGTACAAGACATACAAGGTAAAGATTTGGAGCTACCTCCTCCAGAAAAAAAATTGAAGAAGTCTCAATGCACACCTTTATTCATGAATGCTTATATCATGAGAAATGCCGGAGCTGTAATTCATACTCACTCCAAATTTGCTGTTATGGTTACTTTACTTTGGCCTGGAAAAGAGTTCCGTGTCACACACCTTGAAATGATCAAAGGTAAACATAATATTAATTTCAACGTTATCAGATAAAAATTTTATGAATATAATTTTCAATAGGTATTCGTAATCAACAGCTGGGGCGAGCATATAGATTTGATGAAGAATTAGTTGTGCCCATCATTGAAAATACACCTTTTGAAGAGGATTTGAAAGATCGCATGGCTGAAGTAATAAAAGAATATCCAGAATCTTGTGCAGTGCTTGTTCGTAGACATGGAGTGTATGTTTGGGGTGATACTTGGCAACAAGCAAAAACAATGTAATTTGTTAATTAATAATCAGGTATCATGAATTAATGTTATTTAATATCATAATTCATATTTCAGGACTGAATGTTATGACTACCTCTTTGATATTGCTATACAAATGAAAAATAGTGGGCTGGATCCACTTATAACTCCAGAGCTACACGAGCTAAAATATCAAAGAAAAAGTACTCAAGTTTAATACTCTCAAATAGAAATGGCAAGTACAAATAAAAGTGCCATAATATATTGTCCACGTTTTGTATAATTTACATTTTCTGAGTGATTTACAATTTTTTTACAGTTTATATAAATAATCAAGTACAAATTATTTATATCATTTAAATTTCGTGGCACTATAGCTAAATAAATGTCAATAAAAATGTAACAAAGGTATACACTGCATTAAAGAACTGTATGTCTTAAAGAAATACCCCATTCAATAACTTTGTATATTTACAATTATTATATATTGGTTAACCACTGAGAAATATTTTGAAAAATTTTATAGTTTTACACTAAAAGGCTCAAATTTAGCCTTTATCTCTTCTGCTAAAGCAAATTCCTTTTCTTTACTCAATTGACAATCTCTCCAGTCAAATCTTTCAGGAACATCTAATATTCTATCTGAACAAAGCACTTCTCTACCAAACTGCAGTGGAAAGTCCTTTTTTATTTTGTAAAAAAGTTTTTCTCCGTCTGGGAGTTCAACATAAAAGTACAGTGTTCCTGGTGGAGCTATTTCATGAAGATTAATATCTAATTCTTTCATCTGAATATGATAAACACTTGCAATTTCCTAAAAATTTAGTTTAAACTTAATTTTTAAAGCAATTTCATTACTTACTTCATCTTATAATTTTTAAAATTCTAATAATAATTTCTTACTTGGAATGTTTGTTTCAAAGCTGGAGCTTGATTCTTATGAATAGGAACTGCTTGCAGTTGACAATGCGATGTCTTAAAATTTCTTTCAAAAAATACTACTACTCGATCACTTGGTTCGAAGAATTTTTTCAAGGACTCCTGGGTAAAGGGTGGAATGAATTTGATAATTATTTTCAGAAATTGTATTACAAATATTATATATCAAAATTCATTACCTTATAAATATTCACTTCTTGTTTCACTTCTTCTGGCAAAGTTGATAAACTTTGATGATGCCTAATAGGTGTAATTAAAAAGTGATCATCAACAATACCACCTTTTGCTAAAGCTAAGTATACTTCTTTGCCAATAGATATAACTAAGTGTTTTGCAACATCCTCACTTGTTAAACAAAACCAGCATTTGTTCTGATCAAACTCTATTCTTGGACGTTTCGCTTTTTTCTTGTCACCTCTAGATTCCATATCATAAAAGAACTGAGACGTACCTTCTTTCTTTTTGTTTGGATTAGTTTGCAACATAAATCTTGGATATGGACTTGGAGTTTCATCTGTTGTCTTTTGTATTAACTCTGACATCCTAATGTTATTCACTGGAGTTAAATTTAAGGCATAAAGGTATTTTTTCTTTTCAGCATTTCCTACTTTTGCAAGCCCTATGAATCTGGTTGCTATGTCAATACCATCTTGACTTTCATTTTGATTTCTGTATATAGGATATTTTCAATTATTACTGATTCATCATCTTTTATATTTTTATAAATTATTTAAAGTTTACCTGTATGGTGGTCTTTCATAATGAATATTTTCCATTCCACATACATGATATCTTGGCTTCACATGAGTAGCTAACCATGAGATTAATGAAGATCCTTTGTATTCAAATTTTGGTTTGTTTTCTATACTGTTAGTTATACCTTCTGGCCATTGTGACGTTAATAAAATATCAACGCCTCGAAAAGCTGGACTTCCTTTCAAACAAGCATTCCTAACAGCTGTTACAGCTTTATCATCAAATAAACATTCTTTCGGTATATCAGGACTCTTTTGAACTCCACTGAGATAAACTATTTTTAAACCTAAACTTGACGTGTACAATCCATAATTACCTAAGTAAGTGAGATTTGTACAAATTTCACAGCCATTTTCATTTGGATAATACTTTATATGTTCTTTTTTATTTGGACCAAGAATATATGTAGGTACAGATATCGTTTTGGATCCATCTTTGTAAGGTTCTAATTCTTTGTTGTTTTGGCCAAAAAAGTTACCAACGCAAAGTAGAAAATCAAATGGACCACTTTGCTTGTTAATAGCCTCTACTTTTGAGAAAAGAAATTTGAAGTGACCCTCCACATCCCCGCATAATAAAACTTTTTGTCTTTCTGACATATTTTTAAAACTATCAGTTTTTCTAAACTCTATTTTTCAAAATGTTTGCAGGTTAGAAAATAATGATTTCAATTGTCGCTTCAATTAAAAATGGAAAAAAATTAGAATACAAATAAGCAACATAAAAAAACTTTTTTGAAGGAAAAAATTCGGTATAAAATAAAGCAAAAATTAATTATTTAATTTTATAAATAACTTGTAACGGTTCTATGGTTACAACTAATAATATTGAGTTTGTTGTTTGCTTATATTTGTAATGTACAGTTTGTCACCTTGCATGGAATGGAAAGTTGACGCACTGCAAGGAAATTCGCGCCAAAATTTGAACTGAAAAAAATGATAGGATTAACGAATAAAATAAACAGTAGAATGATTTATAATTATCAGAAATCATTCAGAAATCAATTGAGATATAATAATTGTTTGCGAAAATAAGTTGACTATCCTTAACAAGCGAAAGATATTATTACAATTGAAAATAAGTAATGAAATTATTTTTACAGAAATTTTAATTGGATGTTAAATAATTATCATCGGCTTGTGGAGAACAAAATGACAGCAGTTTATTTGTAAAAAGCAAAAAAAATCATGAAAAATTGACTTTATCATCCGACAAGATGAAACGACGAGGAAAAAGAAGGGAAAGTGAGGCTGGCGTAAAAGTAAGAGCAGTCCTCTTTCTCCTCTTTCGGCAAAGGTCGTTTCCTTGGACTCGCCCACGAGTAAAATCGTCCAGCTGCGGTGGTCGATGCCATGAAAAATTATGCAGAGTTGGAGCTGTGTCTCTCACGAGTATCGATGACAGAAGTCGTGAAAATCGCTCGTGCGAAAGCTTTGCTGCGCTGCGTAGGGCACTCGTGGGAAAAAAGCAAAAAAGAGTGTAGGACGTTCGATTTTTCCTTCCTGCACCCCCGCGGGCTCGCCGGGGAAGTCTTTCGCGCGCCGAACAGAGACAATGCGGTGCCCACCGACTGTGTATATAAACTTCACGGACAGGTCGCGGAGCGAATGGTCGTTAGAGAGTTCGGCAGGTACCTGCTGCGGTGGGCTTTTACATTTCGACAAGTGCAATGAGCGCCGAGATTTTCCCACGCCGATGTGGCTTTCCCGTTGGACCGTGGGAGAAAGACAGGGCAGAGCTGCAAGACAATGAGAAGCTCGTTATGAAGGCTCGCTCCGATTGCTCGTTGGGGAATACGGCATAGTTTGCCAAACACCGAACTGAAAGCGCTATGCCGACTGGTGCTCGTCTCGCTCGCTGATTCATCCGTTTGCTATTAATTATTCGCGTAAATCGCAAAGTTGCGTCGCACCAGTAACTTTAGGCAATTAGTTATGACTGAACAACTTCATCGACAGATTTATAGGACAAAGTTAATTGACGAACGCCGTGCAACGTCTGCAGTAATAAAAAAGCAAACTAAAGTATCAATCGATGTCAATTCAATGTTTTCTTCTATTCACTTTGTATACTATGTGTGGGATTCAAAAATATCAGACATCCAGCGTAACACGGTCTAGCATTTGCTTCAGAATCTCCGAGTCATGGCATCTGAAGTTTTTATCGATGGATTCTAAATATTTCGGGAAAGTTGATAAACTGTGATGCGTTTTCTTTTTTTATTATCTTTCTCGTAAGCATAATGAAATTGATATAAATGAAATGATCAAATTGAAATCATTGCAGCTTTAAATGAACGGCCGACACGACGATCGTTAGTTTATATGTGATCGTCTTTGAACACTGCCGAGCCGCAGTTGAGAAGCCGTTCGCGTTTGCCGACGCAACCACCTCCGGCGCTAATGACGCGTAATTGCATCCGAGCGAGTTGCACGCCATTGGGATTATTGCGACACGAGAGGGATACGAGGTTTTTTTTGACACATCGTTCATAGGGAGATACAGAGAACGTACAGCTCGACAAGTTCCATCGAACCAATAACTTGATGACTAAACGATTTCATCGAGCAATTTAAAGGATAAAGTTAATTGACTAACGTCCTGTAACAGCTGCAGTAATAAAAATACAAACCAACGTATTGCGCCATTATTGGGGTAATAATGGACGCGTGTGCGGAGCTTTTTTTTTGCTTCCATTGTTTTTTTAATGGTTGCAAAGTGGTGGCGACGCGTTTCGGTGGACTCCGGAAACAATTTGCGGACGCAATTCGAGCGGAATTTACAAATGTAACCATTGTCGAATGGAGCAATGAATAATATCGATCGACATTACACGCGATTTTACATTTCTCGTTTTTTCAAGCGTTGAGCCACACCAATTCTGCTATAACGCAAGAGAACACGTTTCTCCGACTATTCCGCGAGTATTATATTATTCAAATTGCACATCCATACGTCGACCATGTAGTAAAAGTTCATTCTCGTGCATTTTAGTGTTATGTAATCATAATTAGTCGATGAACATAAGCAAAGAATTTTTGAACAAAAAACCGACCATTAATCGATGAAGATATCTCGGCCTATTCCAAATTATTCGAAATCAAGTTGAAGCTTGAACAAGAAACGGGTGTAAGCTATCGTCTAATGACGGCAGCAAAGCGATTGTTCGCAGATATACGCCTAATGAGTAACGGCTGGTGAACTGGCATCAATGGAAATTCACCGGAACATTTCGGTGCACGCAAATGGCCCAAGTACGAAAATTTCTGGTTTCAAGGGTGGAGGGGCAGAAGAACCGAGCGCACGCTTCCGGAAAAGTCCGGGGAGAGAGACGCGCGACTGCATCACCCACACGCGCGCCAACTCGGCGCACGAGACGCACACAGCGTGCACACGAGTTAGGCGGCCGCGGAGGGGTGAGCAGCACGGCGCGGGCGTGTCTTGCCGGCCGACCAATCGACGCGTCGGGTGGGCGTTGACTTTGAGCGCGCTAATGGACACGAGGAGAGAGAGAGAGAGAGAGAGAGAGAGAGAGAGAGAGACAGAGAGAACAAAAATCATACGGCGCGCGTTGCCTCGTTCCCGCTCGCGAGCGCTATGTATGCGTTGTCGGGAAGCACATGAATACTAAGTTAGCGGGGCTTATTTCGTCTCTGTGTACTTTCCACGGTAATGACAGTCGCGAGCCGCGCAGGATTGGCGCGAACGCTCTCCGCGTTGGCAGCTTCGACGCGTGATATTGTCAATTGCGCGACCACGCTTATAGACACTCTCTCTCTCTCTCTCTCTCTGGAGGAATGGCTTCTCCGTTAAAATGCGTTTGCTCGCGAGCGAAAGCGCCGCTCTTGGTCGAGCCTCCCTCGTGTCGCGCTCTCGAAACTCGAGGAGAGAGAGAGAGAGAGAGACAGCGGCAAGTTTCGCCCACGTCGCCGTTGTGAAAGGAAGCGTACACGCGCGTGAGCCGCGTTCATTAACAAAAACTCCGTCTCCATTCAGCGCCTACGTTTCTCGCCGCTGCCGTCTCAAAGACTCGACTCTCCCTCTCCGTCTCTTTCTTGCCCTTAAAAGCCATTCTGGCGGTGCGTGACCACTTTGCCGAGTTCATTCATGCCTTTGACGCTTGGCTTGATTAATAAACCGCGCGCGACACGAGAGCGTCGCCGCGCCGTCTGGTCGGCGTACACGTTTCAAGACGCTGCTGCATACACGTACGTCATCTTGGCACTACTCGCGCGCCACTTTCCAGGTGGAGTTGGCAGCTGTACGAACGCGTGTGCGGAGCTTCTTATTTTTTGTTTTGTTTCTATCTTGTCTTTTTTTAATGGTTGCAAAGTGGTGGCGACGCGTTTCGGGGAACTCCGGAAACAATTTGCGGACGCAACTCGAGCGAAATATACGAACGTAACCATTGTTAAATGGAGCAATCGATAGTATCGATCGACATTATTCGCGATTTCGTGTGTTTTTGTTGTTTTACTATTTCAAGCGTTGAGCCACGACAACAATTTTATTATACGTCCTCTGTATCTCCTATTATACGATGCGTCGAAGAAAAACCTCGTATCCCTCTCGCGTCGCAATAATCCCAATGACGTGCAACTCGCTCGAACGTAATTACGCGTCATTAGTGCCGGGGGTGGTTGCGGTACAAGGGGCATATACGTCTGCACACACGCGCAGCAGCAGCAGCAGCAGCAGCAGCAGCAGCAGCAGCAGCAGCCACGGACAACCGCAGTAATCGCGACGATATCCCCGCGCAGTGGCGATCTTGCACGCGCGTGGCCGCTGTTTGCGCGAGATTTGCTAGACATCGCGCGTTGCGTCGATGTGTCCCCCTGTCGTTTTCTGCTATTTGGTTTTGTTTTTCTCTTTCGTTTCACGGGACAGATTTGCACACCGAAAAGGTCGTTTACGGATCCCGGGAGATCGGCGTCGAGCCTCGCTGATCACCGAGTATTATCCGCGGTGATACACGCGCGTATGCACGAGGCGCGCGACGGCTCAAGGAGAGAGCATTTGCTCCGGAGCCGAAGGGAATTACGCGTTCGCTCTTGGTTCGCGACGCTAATCGCGGCCGCGCGCAAACAGTGGCAGGCGCGCACGACTGTGAACTTGGCGGCTCGGCCGACATTGTTTTCCTTTTTCCTTTTTGCCGCGGAGAGCCAGAAATCGCTGCTCTCGAACTGCGGAGCGCAGAACGAAGGCGCGTCGAGAATAAAAGGACAGTCGACCGACGGAATAAAAAAGGAGAACGCGAAAAAGGCGAATGTGACGTTCGCCCATCTACAGCTAACCCGAAAAGCGCGGCCCATATACATGGAGAGGGGGTTGAATACGTATACAGCAGTGATATAGAGCGGCGAGAAGGATAGGAGAGGGCTTTTTGCTTGGGAACGGCGCGTCGAAGGGGCGGTGAGGGGTAGAGAGGAGCCTGCACACTCCACTGATCGGCGTTAGCGAGCTCCGGTCACGTATATATACGTGTACACAGTATATATATACATCTCCCCGATAGCGCGGATTCGCGCGCGCGACAGAGACAAACGGAGAGAACCAACCCCCGGGCGAACGGAGACTCCTCTTTCTCGTTCAGTAAGCTCGCAGCTACCCTCCAGGTTGCCACGCGATCGTACGAAATACATTCACGCAACATATTGCGATGCGCCGTCGTCATTGAAATGTGCGAGTGTGCGACACATTGTGATCACTTTCTAGTTTCAATACAATGATCTGACGATTATGGAATGCAAACCGGCTGGCAGAAGGAATTCTTTGAACTTGTGCTGTAGACTTCAACGCAACGCTTATGATACAAATTGTCTCTT